TAAGCCAGTAAGAGTTAAGTCAGGCTAGGCTTGGTGGTGCTTTACATTTACCTTATAAAATAATGTAATATAAATGCAAAATAAAATATTTAGAATAAAATAGGCCATTGTTATTTCCCTTATATTATTTTTCTAAAATGATATCACCAGCCCTAATATTAATATTGTTTCACTGTACACAAATGGTCATGATCTACATGGCTCTAGATTTCATATCAACTGACAATAAATCTTTTAAAAAGATGCCAGGGGCTGAAGAGATGGCTCAGAGGTTAAGAGCACTGACTACTCTTCCAGAGGTCCTGAGTTCAATTCCCAGAGGCTCATAACCACCTATAATGAGATCTGGTGCCCTCTTCTGGCATGTAAACAAAACACTGTATATGTAATAAGTAAATAAATAAATCTTAAAAAAAAAAAAAAAAGAAGAAGAAGAAAATCAGTCTGGCCAGACCATAGAGGATCTCTGAGTTCAAGGCCAGCCTGATCTACAGAGTGAGTTCCAGGAGCCAGAGCTACACAGAGAAACCCTGTCTTGAAAAAAAAAAAAAGAAAAAGAAAAGTAAAAGTAAAAGAAAACCAATCTGTATCCCTAACATACGAATGGACTTTGGGAGCCAATTCCACATAGATGGATACTCTCTCAGCCCAGATTTGGGGGGAGGGTCGATGCTAGGCCCTGCTCCAAAGGATATGACAGACTTTGAAGACCTCCATGGAAGGCTTCACCCTCCCTGGGGAGCAGAGACTGAGACTGACATGTAAACAAGCTTGTTTCTAATTTGAATAAAAAATTGAAAAAAAGAAAACCAGTCTGATATATGTAACAATGATGACTAAAGAAAAGGCTGTAAATGGAGGAGAGGGAAGAGATAAATGATGTAAAAATATTTTCAGTGAGAAGCAGCCTGCTAGTTCTAATGCGAGTCTCTGCATGTGTTCAAAGTCATAAACACACACAAGAAAGGCAAACCTTGGGGCTGGACAGACAGCTCGACCGTGAAGAGCAAGCATCACTCTTGCGGAGAAACGGACTTGGCCCCAGAGCCCACGTCAAGCAAGCAACAGAACTCCCGGGTACTGCAGCTTGAAAGGTCTGAACTGCACGGTGCACATACACACAATCTTAATAATAAACAGCAATCTAAGTAACAACAAAAGCAACAATTCAATAAATATCACAATGCAAATATGTACCAAGAGGAACATAGTCAACCAATATTCAAAATAAACCCAAGGGATCCCAGACAAAATTATAGTATAAGTATGCATGTATAGGTGTGTAGATATATATACTACAAAATCATATTAAATACAACAGTTAAGTTTTTCATTTCTGTGTACATGAACCATCTTGATCTACAAAAATATATGTAAAAAAACTTTCGAAACTGTTTCAAGAGTTAAATAATACTTTTAATGAAAGAATGTTCTACTTAAGGAAATCTTACTATCAAACCATTAAAACAAATACTAAATTCATTGAAAATGATTTGATTTTATATCACTTATTTATTTAATATGAGGCTTAATAAAAATGAGGCCCATCTCTAAATGTAGTTAATATGCCTCATTATCAGAAGTTCACTCATCCTTTATTCACAAATGCTTACTTAAACAATCATTATGAAATGAGAACATAGGAGTAAAGTTCAAAACCAGTTTTGCTTTGTTTTGGTGGTAGGGCTTAAGCCCAGGGCCCTGTGCACTCAAAGCATTTCCCCAACCAGTGAGCTGCACATACATTGCTCCTCCCAACCACAACTTACAGTTCTTCAACCCAGAGCTCCATTTCTGGATACTCCTGTGTAACAAATACTGACTGCATAACATTTAAATAAATTTCACTACTAAGTATTCATTACAGGAAAGGGCGGTCATGGATTCTTCCAGTTTTTCTCAAGCCAAGTTTCTTTTCCAATTATAACAGGTGATACTTTGAATTCATCACTAAAAATCTTAAAAATCCACTTTTAATTAATGTAGCAGCTACCCAGGATACTTTACAACTTCCATACTCTTGTTTCCATTTACTGAGCAGCACGAGATGATTACAATGAATTCACAGGTGAGTTTGCAAGGAAAGGAGACCACGCTACACCTTGTGTGTGCACTGACTGCAGAGATGAGAAGGCTCAGTGGTAAGAGTGGAGCTGGGCTGGGCTCCCAGCACCGATACCATGGCTCACAACCATCTGCAACTCCAGTTTCAAAGGATCAACAGCCTCTTCTGGCTTCTGCGGGCACCAAGCACCCGTATGGTTCAGAGACAAGCACGCAAGCAAACACCAAGCACATAAGACTCAATTCTTAAAACATGACTGAAGAACAGTCAGCACCACCACTGTAGTCACCTACCACAGATCAGATGTCTTCTTGTCTTTTCTAGGAGGAAAGGCTTTAGCCCTAGCTGCCCTGGAACTCCTATGTAGACCAAGCTAGCCTCAAACTCAGAGATCCACCTGCCTCTCTCCCAAGTACTGCAACAAAGGAGGGCGCCATCATGCCTCAACGGATACTTTGGTAACTACAGTAGGAAAACAGGTCTTACTATAACTACGGCAACCATATGATCAAACACCACCAAGAAGCATCATTTACCAGGTACACTTGTTCTTGAGACTTTTTAAAACTGGTTTACAACCGAGTTAGTTTACGTGAGGCACAGGAAAGAGCAATAGTTGACTCCACTGAAGGAAAACTTCTGACAAATCCAGAATGTGAGTCATTTTCTAAGACAAATGAACTCTCTCTCTCTCTCTCTGCAATATTATTTTTTATTTTACAAGAAGGGGTTGGGTAGTCTAAATTAGAAGGAGTTAAACAAATGCAAAGAATAAACTCTGATGAGATCTTGGCCAGGGAAGAAAGGTTATACAATCTTCTGGAAGACCTTTCAGGACAACTGGAGAAACATAAATACGTATGACATTAGATTACGCCGGGAGATCTGGGAGGCGGCTCATCAGTTAAGAGTGCTGGCTGCCCTGCCCGGGAACCACGTTTGGTTCCCAGCGTCCATATGGTGGCTCAGTTCTAGATCAGATGCCCTCTTTCGACCTCCACGGGCCCCAGCCAAGCACACGTGCACATAAGCTTGTTTGTTTTTAACATTACACTAAGGAATTATCATGTTGAAGAAAATGGACATTAACTATTTTATCCAAGCAATGTGCCCTTTTCTCTAGGCAAAGCAAGCTGACATATGAAAGGTAAAGTGTCAAAAGTCAACACCTTAGCTTCAAACGGTTCAACCAAAAATAGTAGACATCTACAAACAGGGTAAACACAGAAAACTATCAACAAATGTGAATGGAGGAGCTCACCATTCGGCTGTTTACCGCTGACAGATTCTCTTTATGCTTAAGCTGCTTTCATAATGGAAAGCTAGAGAAAAGGGACCTGGAGAGCTCCAGTTACCAGAGTGGAAAGAGACAACCTCAAGTCCCAACTGCAGAAAGCACAGCACCCCACACAGTGCAGTACCTAAGAGAGACGTGGCCCCTTGGCAGCATCAGCCCAGCTAGGGAGCAACCCTCAACCTAAAACATCGCTTAAATGACTCAACCTCAATACGTCATTATTTAAGATAAGCCTTGACAGCCAGTTCTCTCAAAACAGACACACCAGGAGCAAGACTAGACAACCACTCTACAGTAACACCAAATTCAACCTACTTCAACAACTGTTTGTACTCTAACCAAACAACAAACCAATCTGTAACTCTGTAAATGTGACTTCTTTCCTACGGGTTAGTCAACTACAAGTTTCCTTCAAGGTGTAACACACTAGTGAAATGTGAGTACTATAATTGAGCATTTGTAGCTACATGAAGCTTCAATTACTCGAAAGGAATTTATCAGCATTTTCTTCTGTACAGAGTTCCAGTTCTGCTTACTCAATAGTCAAACACTACAGTATGATGCTAAAATGAGAATTCTCTGTCAGCTTATTAACTTGGTTAGTAGTATTTTTCAGACAAGGAAACCACGGCAACAAATGACTCCTTTCTGTAATATTCTACACATTGACTTCTGACACTAAAGTGTGAAATACTGCGTAAGACAACGCAGAATCACTAAGTATTGCCACATAATCCAGCAACAACGTTTGCAAAGAAAACAGCCTGTGAGTTCCCCATATATCTCAACACCAAATGCAAAAATAAAACATAACCTCAGTAAGTTCTATCAAGCATACGCCTTCTGTTCAATTAAGACGGTAAACTGTTTTCTGTACAGTCCCAACACATAAAAAGGATACTTAGGGTCACTCCTTCACAAGTAATGTCTTTGAAAATTAAAATGACAAAATACATCCAACAAGGTAAGTCAAAAAGTGTAAATGCTGTCTAGCTAGGTGTTTAGAACTTACAGCCAGGGACAAACTCTCCAGCCAGTCTCGTTCTCTAACGCACTTATTTTTGCAAGACGGAGAACCGCAGTCCTCACAGAAACCTGTCTTCAGACGTCAACTAAGAACTTCCTCGATGACCACTTGCATGACCTTGGGAAGTTACACCTTTACCTGGCTGAGGCTCAATTTTTCACGTTTAAAAAAAAAAAGACTGCATACTCGTCTTGGGGGGGGGAGGGTCTGGGAAGAGGAGACGAGTTGACATGCAATTACCGAGAGCAAAGTGTGTGTGCACCCCGTGAGCTGGCCGGCCGCCCCAAGTTAAGAGGAAACAACCTTCATCCCTAGCCTACCACACCGACACCCCCAAAGACGAGCATATATATTTATTTATTTATTTATTGGCTAAAATGCACGTCGGTCGGTCCCAGCTTCCCTGCGACCGGCCGGTTACAGCCTTGTGGTTGGAACCAAATCCCCCGGAGCGGGCGTCTGACAGTTTCCCGGCCCGCGCCGCACGGACCGGGAGGCTCCGGGGTCAGCCCTGGCCGCGCAGGGCTGTCCGCCACCCCCGAACCCCCCCCCCCCCCGCCGCGGAACTCCCGTCCCCGGGCCCAGGCGCACGCCGAGCCACGAGCACTTACCGGCCGCTGGGCGGGGATCGCGGGGCCGAGGGCCGAGAGGAGGCCACCGAGCCGGGCCCTCCGCCCCCGCACGGCCCGTCACCGCGCCGCCCACCCCCGGGAGCGGCGCCTCCCGGGGCCCCCGAGGCCCGACGGGCCGCAGCAGACAGCGGGCGCGGGTGGCCGGGGGGATCCAGGCCCGACCTGCTTCACATGGGGCGGCGGGCGCGCGCGGCCCGGGGCCTCTGGGCCGCTTCAGGGCCGCCGCAGCCCCGGGGCCCGCGGGGTAGGCTGGGCCGACGAGGAGGAAGCCGCGCGCCGGCGGCCGGGGAAGCGGCGAAGCGGAAGCGGCGACTCTGCCACCGGGTCGCCCGCCGCGGGTCGCCCTTGGGTCGCCGCCGGCTGCGCGAGCCGCGAAACCGCGCCGCGCCGCCCTCGCCGGGAGATGCGGCCGGGGGGTGGCGGTGGGAGGGTGGGAGGTGGAAGCAGCCGGGCCGCCGCTCCGCCACACAGACCCGTGATGTCCGGCGCAGCGCGCGGTGGCGCGGAGGCAGCACGTCACGGACGCTCGCTCGGGCGCGCGCAACCCCTCGGCCCGCCGGGAGCGGAACCCGCCGCATCCGCGCGCCCGGCCCAGGCGCGCGAGAGGAGAGAGCAGGCGCCTGCGCAGTGGCGGCTCGCCGCCGCGCCGCCGGCCCCGCCCACTCGGGCCGGGCTCTCCTCCCGCCTCCCCCCCGACGGCGCGGCGCGCCCAGGCTTCGGACCGGGTGCGCGCGCCGCGGAGCCGCCGAGCTCTGCGCACGCGCGGGGCGCGGGGGCGGGGCGCGGGGGCGGGGCCGTCCGAGGCGCGCGCACACGCAGGGACTTGGGTTTTTTTTTTTCTTCCCCCCCCACCGAGGACCGCACGGAGCCCCGTCGCGGAGACGCAGTCACCGTGTCCCCCCGCCCCCGCTCCCGCCCCCGCTCCCGGCGACCGTCTGCGTCCGCAGGTTTCACAAGTTTTCGGACGACTGTAGAAATCTCTGTCCTGACCGCAAACCACCCATCGCGGCCGCGAGCGAAGTTTTAAGCGGGCTCTGGGCGGCCTAGAGCGCTGTTACTTGTCCAGTTTACCGGAGACGGCATCACACACGCACGCACACACGCACGCACGCACACACACGCACACACACACACACACACACACACACACACACACACACACCCGGACCAGAAGGTAGTGAAGTCCCTGGTCACCAAATCCCGCGGCCACAGAGGTAAAATACAGGTTAGCCCGCACGCCCGGGGCTTTCTCGGCGCCCACACCCGCAGAGCCCCGCCGCCTCCCGTCGCCCCCAGCACCCCTCCCGATCCCCTGTGCCACTCCTCCTCGGTGACCGGAGCAGCCTGGTCCCCTTCCCGTCTCGGCGTCCGACCCGAGAGAAGTAGGGCTGACACACAACGGTCCGTGCAAGAAGAGACCCTACACACACCTGTCAAGGGAGCTGGCCCGACCGCAGGCTCCGGGGAGCCAAGGCTGACTTCTGTTCAGACGTCTGAGTCTCCGTCCAGGGACATCAGCCGCGGCACACAGGGGTGTCTGCCCCCGATATGTAGAGCTAAGTAGAAAATCAGTTTGATTCCATTTGCTCCATAAAGCGGGGCTTGTCGATTTAATGTATGTCTAAAACCAAGGAAGTCTTTTTTTGGACCAGAGATGTATGGCCCAGCGGCTAAAGGTCATGTCATCCTGACAAACCTAAATTTGATCCCCCAAATCCACATGTATGTATGTATGTATGCATGCATGCATATGTATATGTGTACATATGTGTGTCCATCTGTGTGTGACGTTTTCTCTTAGATACTAAATCTTGAGTTCTGTGGTTATTTTAGTGTGTATGACTGTAAACTGAGTTCGGGTGTGGTGGCACACGCTTGTAGCTCCAGCATTATAGAAGCTGGAGTGGCAGGATCCTTCCGAGCTGAAGGCCAACCCATGCTATCTAACAAGTTCCAGGCTTTCTGGGGTTGAATAGTAAGATCCTGCCTCACACATAAAAAATTTGTTGGGCTGGAGAGATGGCTCAGCGGTTAAAAGAGCTGCCTGCTCTTGCGGAGGACCCGGCATCAATTCCCAGTACCCACATGGTGGCACGCAGCTGCCTGTATCTACAGCCGTAGGTAACGCCACACTTCCTTCTGATCTCCGTGGTACCCGGCATGCGCGTGGTGCACGGACATGATGCTGGCAAATACCCACATTCATAAAAAGATTTTTTGTTTTTGTTTTTCGAGACAGGATTTTCTCTGTATTGTTTTGGTGGCTGTCCTGGAACTCGCTCTGTAGACCAGGCTAGTCTAGAACTCACAGAGATCCGCCTGCCTCTGCCTCCCGAGTGCTGGGATTAAAGTCGTGCGCCACCAACGCCCGGCATAAAAATAAATGTAAGGAAAAGAAAAGATGAGATAATTATGACACAGGGTGACTTGAACAGTGACAGAGGTAGCCTGTGACACGGCAGTAGGAAGGAAGATGTCACAGGTGTGCCTGAAGAAGTAGGGGAAGGTGTCAGACAAACGGCATGACAAGTTACCCCAGACTGCCAGAGGCGCTGTCGTATACCTGTATCCCGCTACTCAAGGAGAGTTCGAAACCAGCCAGAGCTACACAGAGAGACCACATCTTTAAAAACGAGACTAAAAAAAGGAAAAACAGACTTAATGACTTCATTTAACACCTGTAAACTAGTTGACAGTGTTGAGGTGAGAGTCTTCCACCAGGAATGTCCCAATTGGACCTCAAGGTGTCACAGGCTCAAACTGAGAGACCAGCTGGACTGAATTTTCATTTGAAAGCCCTGCAGAAAGTCCTTGTTCTTTATCAATTGTTGTTGGCAGGATTCAGTTCCTTGTGGTTCTAGATTGAGACCCCCATTTCCTGGGATTGCTTTTGGTTCCCACGAAGCCACATGAATTCCTGCCTCTCTCTTCCCTCGCTAGCAACAGCTAGCAACAGAGAATGCTGTGTGTCGAATCTCTTCCTGACTTCCTCTTTTGCTACAAAGTAAAGGCAAACCACCTGGGTTGGTTACTTTTCTATTACTGTGATAAAACACCATTACCAAGGCTACTTACAAAAGGAAAGGTTTATTTGGGCTTACAGCTCCAAAGGGACGAGTCCATCACCATCACACGCAGGAAGCACGGCAGCCTGGGCCAGCAACCGAGGGCTCACACCTTCATCTGGGAGCGTGAGGCAGACACAACAAACTCACATACTCCAGAGTCTTCACATTCTCAAAACCTCTCCCAGTGACACACATCCCCCAGCAAGGCCACATCTCCTAAGTCCCACCCCCCCAAACACCACCAATAACTGGGAAGCAAATGTCCAAGTGCCAGAGCCTGAGGAGGACGTTCTCATTCAAACCACCCCACCGTGCTTTGGGGGTGTGCTTGGTTGATAAAGCCCTTTGCAAGGTGCTAGACTTGACCCCCCAGTGTTATTAAATAATAAAATTAAAAACAGTTTTTGTAATTAGGCTATGCTTGTCTAAATAACATTCTGTCAAAGACAACGTAGTTACAGAACTCCGTGAGATTACTGAGCCTTATGTTTGCATTACTAAGGGTTGTATGGGATAAGCACACGGTAGACAGGATCTTCAGATTCTGTCCTACGAAGGGCAGAGGCTGGATCTGGGGAGATTGACTAGGTCTCCCACGGGCTGTGATGGTTAAATGACCCACAGCAAATCTATTATGATTATTCCCAGAGCAGGTGGCACCTGCTTTATTGTCACAAAAATATTAGCAGAGTGAATCCTCGTTTCAAACAAAAAGGCTACAATGCTCCCTAGAGGGAGACTTCCCCACAATTGTTTTAACCTAAAAAAAATCAAATAGCTTAAACGATCAAGTAAATTAAATTTAAGTCGATATTTGCATTATTTCTCTCTGCCTCTCTGGAAGCCATCTGAGAGGGACTGTCCACTGTGATTCTAACCACTAACTAACTATCCAAGTGCCAGTCCTGGGTTACCGCTGCCCCCAGCCACTCAGGAAAACAGGAAAGTGAGAAGGATCCAGCAGACAGATGACCGTCCATCAAGTGTGCCTTGATCTGGACACGCCTCCTCCTCTGTCTTCTCTGGATCCTCACAGAGGCTAAGAACTCTTGATCTGGACACGTCTCCTCCTCTGTCTTCTCTGGATCCTCACAGAGACTAAGAACTCTTGATCTGGACACGCCTCCTCCTCTGTGTTCTCTGGATCCTCACAGAGGCTAAGAACTCTTGATCTGGACACGCCTCCTTCTCTGTCTTCTCTGGATCCTCACAGAGGCTAAGAACTCTTGCCTTTACTTCCTTCTCACATCTGTTTCCAGACACCAGGCAAGGATTTCTTTTTCTCTCTACATCTGACAGTCTATATGCACCCTCTGGAGGGATACCCCAAACTTGCCACACCAAACACCCCGAATTCACCTGGCATAAAGAGAAGAAGTAGACATTGGCTAGACAACTTAGACAGTCCAGGAAAAGCAGCCAGTTTCTTTGTTAGCCAAAAGCCAAAACTGTCCTTAGGTCTCTTGGAAGTCTCATCCTTGTCAAAGAGCAGGTATGCCAAAAGTGTTTTGGGGGCCCTGGTCTCTGATCTGGTTCCTAAATGAATCTAAGGTGAAGGCAAGTTCACCTTAAACCATGCTTAGACCATCACTCACCATAACAGCAATTTACTCTGGGGCTGGAGAGGTGGCCTAGAGGTTAACAGGGCTGGCCACTTTTCCAGAGGACCCAGGGTTCAGCTCCCAGTGTCCACATGGCAGCTCACAACTGTGTGTAATCCCGGGTCCAGGGAGCCTGCTGTCCTCTTCTGGCCTCCACTTTCACCAAGCATGCAAGTAATGTACAGACATACATTCGGGCAAAGCACCCATAGACATATAATTTACTATTTTTAAAATAATGATTTACTCATTCACTAGAATCAACATATGCTGTCTATGTTTGAAAAAAACTGTAAAGAAGAGGAAAATTTTAGAGAAAGTCATTTTCTATTAAAGTTATGGGGTTTTTTTTCCTGTCAAAGGTACTTAGCCTGGCAATGACTCATATTTCCTGGAACTTCTTTTCCTCTTTGTGCCAATTAACCAATTTTGTAAGATTGTGAAGTCAAGCTCCGACCATTGGGATGAGTCACCAGCTATGGGATGAGTCAGAGACGACAGACTGAACCCGTCTGGACCAGGTGGGCTTGCTAGGTGCGCTTGGGTTCCGCGGTGGTTTGCATGAGGGTGACCCCAGTGGTCTCGTGTGTTTGAAAACTGGATCTCCGGTTGGAGGAACTGTCTGTTTGAAGAAGCCCGGAAGGCGTGTCCTTGCTGAAGTACATGTGTCACTGAGGGTGGCTTTGAGGTTTCAAAAGAGTTGTGCTATTCCCAGTGTTCCCTCTGCCTCCCCCTTGATATTTGAGAAGTGAGCCCCCAACTTCTCCTACTGCTATGCTCTCGCTCCGACACCACGGACTCCAACCTTCTGAAAATGTCATTCCTATTAAACACCCCATCCACAAGTTGTCACAGCGACGGAAAAGAAACGTGAAGTTGGTACCAGAAGCAGGGCACGGCTGTGACAAGCCTGACCGTGCAGGCTTTGGGACGAATATGGAAGACTCTGGGGAACTTTGGACTAGAAAAGTGACTGGATTCTGTAAGCAGGGCTGGGGAGACAGCAGGACTGAGCTATGTGGGCTATGGAAGCCCCAGTCCCAAGGGGTCAGTGGAGAACAATATTTACAGCTGGGCTGGAGACCATTCTCATTACACTTTGGCAAAGACTGTGGCTGATTTCTGCATTTGTCCTAAGATTTCACCTGAAACCAAATTGGAAAATAAATGTACTAACTTCCTTGGCAGAAGAGATTTCAAGATACCCTGACATACCCTATTTCACAGTTATTAGTAGTCAATGTTATATTTTGCTACCTGAAGAATAAAAAGAACAGGTACAGTTAGAAGAGAAAAAGAGAATTAAAAAATGTAATGCTGGCCAGGCGGTGGTGGCACACATTTTTAATCCCAGTACTCAGGAGGCAGAGGCAGGCGGATTTCTGTTAGTTCGAGGCCAGCCTGGTCTACTGAGTGAGTTCCAGGACAGCCTCTAAAACAATACAGAGAAACCCTGTCTCAGAAAAAAAAATAATGCTGGATCTAAGGCTTGTGCTGGAAGAGCTAAGGAGATTAAGGAGAAACCACATCTGAAATGGAATTGGGTTTGGGGGTATAAAAGGGTGGTTGTCCTCAGGAAAGACTCTACCTAGATAAGCTATCAACTTGTGGAAGTAGAAAGCCTAAAGAATTTTTCAGTTCCTATGTGATTCAAGGAAGCCACCAGGAAGCCAGATGTAACAGTGTTGTTCACATGGCTCTGGCTTTAGTGCCATGAAGGGTAAGGAGAAACAAGTCATGGAATCTTCCTCAGAGGTCAAGGTGTGAGTCTCTGCACATATGGCAGGCTAGCCTCTGCATGGCGGCCCTGAGAGGCCCTTCTGTAAAGTTGTAAAAGTGAAGCCTGGATTGTGCTGGAGAGCCCAAGATATTCAAGGTGTCCGAGGCATGGCATATCTGCCCATGAAAGCTGCAGCCACAGAGCGGAACCAGCCGGAGAGATAGGAGGATGTTACAGGGAGGAGAGACAGAGAGGCAGAGTCCCCTGAGTCCTCTGACATCAGTCATGAAGATACAAGCTTTGGAATTTGCCCTGCTAGGTCTTGGTTCTTCTTTGATCCGGTATTTCTCCCCAAAAACGAAACAAAATTTAAAAGAAAAACTAAAACCCAGACATAAATAAATAAATAGGAGAAGAGTCTTGTCATGGAAGCTGTAGTTTGGCCCGTTGAGTCACACAGTTTACCCTTTAGTCCATTCATCTTCACCTGTTAAGTGTTCACTGCTGTGAGTCATTGGTTCAAGGCCTCTGGTTTCTGCTACACTATCGATCATGGGCTCTCTCTGGGACTCTCTTGGATAACCTGTTGCTGTCCTGTGTCCTGGAGATCCTGCAGTTTTGGATCTGATCCCCTTCACACGCTCCAACAGTTCATGGATGTGGTGCGTGTTGGGGTGGGCCAACTCATAGCCTTGGTTCTGGGCCTGGGCGGTAGCTGGGTTGGTTAGTCGGTCAGTTTTCCCTCGTTGTCACTGCCTGGAAAATTCTCTTCAACACTGCCTCATCTAGCTCACCCAGAGCATCCTACAGCAAGGAGTGGGCCAGCTCTCCTGCTCTCGGGTTCTCAGATCCGGCTCAGCCATACTCATATCACCAAGGCCAGCTCTACTGTTTTGCCCAGGCGAGGTGCAGGGCCCTCTCTCTCAGTTGCTATAGGGGATACACACTTGTGGGGTAGGGTCAGCTCTTCCGCTCTCTCGCCCTCTGGGCTGGCTCTCCTGTATCCCCGACACTATGTGAGCTCTACTGTGCTGCCCAGATGGGGGGCAGGGCCTGCCTTCTGGTGTGCTGCAGCCCTTGAGGGACCGGGCTAGCTCTCCCACTCTTGTTACCATGGGACCAGCTCTCTCACCTGCCACAGGTGGCAGTGGGTGAGCAGGGAGGGAGAAGGCAAAAGCTGAATGATGCTGGCTTAGTTAGGATTACTATTGCTGTGAAGAAACACCATGACCACAGCAACTCTCATAAGGAAAACATTTAATTGATCAGGCTCCCTTACAGTTGCAGAGGTTCAGTCCATTATCATCATAGTGGAAAGCATGGTGGCAGGCAGGCAGACACAGTGTTAGAGGAGCTGATAGTCCTACATCTTGCACACAACAGGAAGTCAACTGATAGTCACACTGAGGGAAACTTGAGCAGAAGAGACCTCAAAGCCCGTCCTCACAGTGACTCACTTCCTCCAACAAGGCCACACCTCCTAATAGTGCCACTCCCTTTGGGGGGCTTTTTCTTCCAAACCACCAGAGATGTCTACACATGTATGAGCTTGGTGCATTACTGATTCCCTTTTGATGGAATGCTGATGAGCTCATAAGCCCAGGCTCATGGCTGGCTCTTAAAAACCTGTAAACTGAGGTAGTCTAGAAGCCATGGTATCTCAGTATCAAGTTCATCTAGCCCCCATCTTGCCTTCCGAATGCCATTTCCCCTAGAAAAGAGCCAACAGTAGCACAAAAGAGGACACCCTAGAACCTTGTAGAGCGCAGAGAAAGGACACAGCCTAGAACCTTGCAGAGCCCAGAGAAAGGACACAGCCCAGAACCTTGCAGAGCCCAGAGAAAGGACACAGCCTAGAACCTTGCAGAGCCCAGAGAAAGGACACAGCCCAGAACCTTGTAGAGCGCAGAGAAAGGGCACAGCCTAGAACCTTGTAGAGCCTAGAGAAAGGACACAGCCCAGAACCTTGTAGAGCCCAGAAAAAGGGAATGCTCATAAGTCAGGGGCTTGCTAAAATGATATGAAATGGAACTGTCTTTGTTCAAGTCTGGCACATGTGCAACATTAAAACAATGAGAGTAGGCTAGGGGGTGGAGCTCAGTTGACAGTATGCTTGCTAGCATGTGCAAAGTCCTGGGTTCGATTCCCAGCAGCACATAAACCAGGTGTGGTGGCTTGTGCCTGTAATTCCAGAACTTAAGAGGTGAAGGCAGGAAAATGAGGCATTTAAGGTTAGTCTCGGCTAAACATTAACTTTTAGGCCAACCTGGGCTACATGAGACCTTGACCAAAGCAAACAAACAAACAAAAGCAAGGCTCATACTTGCTGCTCTTCCAGAGGCCCTGAGTTTGGTCTCCAGCACCCGCATGGTGGTTCATAGCCACTGTAACTCCAGGGCGTCCTCTTCTGTACTGGCTCTTACACTCACTTGGTGCACATAAACTTATACAAACACAAACACACACACACATACACATACATCCTTTAACCTGGAGCATACAAGGACACACACACACACAACACACACCCTCTGACCTGGAGCATGCATGGACACACACACACACACACACACACACACACACCCTCTGACCTGGAGCATGCATGGACACACACACACACACACACACACACAATAAGCTAAATGTAATTTTAAAAATTAAGCCAACAAATGCATTTTGCTAAGTGAAAGAAAGCAGATAAAACAGTACACTGCGTATGATTTCATTTATATTAAATTCTTCTAAGAAGAAGACTTATCCAGAGGCCACTGGTGGGCTGTCTAGGAAGGGCAATGCTCTGTGTCTCGAAGGCTGTGATGTCAAATTTGTGCTCCTAAAACAATCTCCAAGGTATGAACGAAACCACAGTAAAGTTGACCTCCCCCCAAAAAAGTTACGGCCATTGCAAAGATTAATGAAGTGATGTGTGTATGTGTAAGAGAGAGATGGGGTTGGAGGTGTGTCTGTTTCCCCAAGTTCGGTGCACCCCGGAGAGGCTCCTAAACTAATGGCTGTGTTCATGTGCATAACTGACTGGGGTACTGACTTTCAGGTACTGCCCACCCAGGGAACCGCATATCAGGTGTTCTGCATCTAAATAAAATGAGTCACCAGTGACAAGGGCAGGTACCAGTTCAGGCTGTCCCTTCCGTCAGGTGCTTCCATGGTAGCGTAAGTCCCACCCATGTCTGGGAAACGGATACCACTTCCCTGCAGAAGCCCGGGGCACCTCCTGCCCTTCTGATTCAGGGTCAGGCACTTGTGTCCAGCCAAACCGCCCTCACCCAGTCACCCAGGCAGTAAAGTCCAGTGAGCCTGCCAAGCCCATCCCCTTCTGCACCACCCTGAGGCAACTTTATCTAATTGGGCACCCACAGAACCCAGCACCCACAATCAGGAGTCCACCACTGGTTGTTGCAGTGAGGGCTTTGAGCATCGGCTCAATGAACCTGGGCAAGCTTGTGGGGCGGGGGAGAGGGTGGGAGGGTGCAAACGGACAGGAGAAGCAAGGAGACATCGGGCCTCCCTCCCGAAGCGAGAAGCTGCATTTTATTTATATATATTATGTCTCGTTGCTGGGCAACCAGGCCTTGGCCCAAGTGGCAGGGAGGAGGGGGTCTCCTGCTGCAATGAGCCAGGGTGACTCACCCCTGCGTTGTTAGTTCCTCTGGGCCTGGTGCACACGTTCAAGTCAGGCTCGGAGACCAGACCCACCTGGCTGAGGAATCCCCAGATGGAACGGAGCCAGTTCCCCAGTCTCTCACCTGCTTGCCGAGAGCCGAAGCAAGCACCAGGCGCCCCGCTCTGCTGTGGGTTGAACTTGGGCAGGCCGTTTAACACCTCTAGCCTTCTGAAAGGAGAATGTGAGTCGACGTTTCAAAGCCTCACAATATACTTTAAGTACCCTGGTCGGTTCGCACAGCTGCCCTCCTCTCCCTCGACAATCAGGAAATGATAGTTCCAGAGAAAGTTCACTTTCTCAGTTATGCAAAAATTTTCCAAAGAAGCAGAACTCCGGAGCCGCGTGTCCACGAGTCAGAGCTCTGTGTGTGTACCTTAGCCATCACAGGGATCTTGAGCTCTGTGGCTTTCTCTCAGAGGGGGTTTAGAAACCTGTAGCCTTCCCCCTGGCATTGGGGGGCTCCCAGTGGGGGCGGGTGCCGCTGCCCTCCCGCGTCAGCCAGCCTGCCCACTGCGGGCCACCGGCTAGAAATGCCAGCCCCGTGCTGGATGCCTGAGTCACCCAACAGATGTCTCACAAGAACTTGCCAATGTCCAATTTTGACTACTTCTGGCTACACAAACTGTGTTTAGGTCAGTGGAGGCCCCAAGACTAGCTGTCACTCCTCTTCCGTCCTGGAAAACAGTTACCCTGGCACCCTATTTCTCAAGGGGGATGGACCCAAGACCACTGAGCCACGTGCTCATCCTAGACACCGAATTTAAACTCTACTTGAGTAGGGGGCAATGACAGGCCCCCTGGTTCATTCTTTTTTCATCCTTTTTATTTCTAACCTTTTATTTTATTATATGTGCATTGGTGTTTTGCCCGGATGTATGTCTGTACACCGCATATGTTCCTGGTGCCTGTGGCAGGCTAGAAGGGTGTGCTGGATTTTTCTGGGGCTGGAGTTAGACAGTTGTGAGCTGTCATATGGGCACTGGGTATCGAACCCTGGTCCTCTGGAAGAGCAACAAATGTTCTCAACCACTGAGCCATCTCTCCAGCCCTGCCCCTTGTCATTCTTAGCAACTGACACCTGTTTTTCCAGACCCAAGTCCTTCAGAACTCCAGCGTTCTCAGACCTGCTGGCCCAATGTAGACTGCTTTAAAAAAATGCAGCACAGCCTGCAAGCTTCTGGGACAAGCTTTCCAAAGCCCTGAGGCTTTCCTCGTAGTGGCTGAGCTCTGGGATGGAGGCTTCCTGCACACTACAACTCAAGGAGGTAGATCTCTATCTCTGTTTCAAGCTCAGGAAGACGTCATTACCGAGGCCGACAGTCTGTTTTGCATTACCATGACAATACATGTATGTGACTGTGCATGTGTAAGTGTGCGTGTGTACAGCCTCACATATTTTGTGTAGGTGCATGCGCAGCTCAGGGAACACTGTAGGCTGTTATTCCTCAGGCACTGCCCATTTTGAATTTTACCGGTTTTGTTTCGTTTGAGACAGGTTCTAATTGTGTATACTTGGCTGGCCGGGTACTCACTAGGTTGGCCAGGCCGACCTTGAATTAAAGGTGTGAGCCCCTACACCTGAAGCCTTTGGGTTTTTTGTTTTGTTTTGTTTTGATATTTGTTTGTTTGCTTGTTTTGAGACAGGGTTTCTCTGTGTAGCCCTGGCTATCCTGGAACTCACACTATAAACCAGGTTGGCTTCCTCCTGCCTCTGCCTCCAGAGGGGTTGTGTATTTGTTTGTTTTAATGTGGGTCCTGAGAATCAAACTTAGGTCCTCATGGTCATAAGGCAAGCACTTTACCAACTGAAGTGTCTCCTCGGTCTGCCAGAGTAACGTTATAAACACAGGGTTATTTTGGCATATAGTCCCGAGTCAAAGTCCAAGATGCCCTTGATACTGACAGAGAATATTTTATGGCAAGAAATACGGGGCATGCTCTGTGCGTGTAGTGTTTTCCTCCAAAGCCGTCAAGAACCATTCATGAATGTCTCTCTTAACCACCCCACCCCACCCTAATCACCTCCCAAAAGTCCGCCAGACTGTTTCCCCTCCAATATTTCACATGGTGATTACACTCTGACCTGTGACCCTTTAGGGACACTCCAGTCACACCCATCCAGTCACCTGTCAGCTTTCCTCAGAGCCTTACACGCCCACACTGTCACATCCCCACACCAGGCTGCTGATGCTTGAACGTCACCCCTCCTAGACCGACCCTCCCTGGACAGCGTCTTCTTTCTCCTTCCTGCCTCTGCCATAGACTGAGGGTGTTTGCTGAATACGTGCGTGGAAAAAGAGACGAGGGATAGCAGGTTAGTTCTATTTTAAAGAGAAATTTGGGACTACTGAATAAGGAAAGGCAGGAATGTTCTGGTTTAAGATCTCATGCTCTGATTTCACTCTGCTCTTAACACTTAAAAAAAATCAACCTGGGGGCTGCTGGAGAGGTGGCTTAGTGGTTAAGACTGTTCTTCCAGAGGACGGGGTTCGATTCCCAGCACTCATGCGGCAGTTCACAACTGTCCGTTAACTCCAAGACCCAAAACCCTCACAGACAGGCACGCAGGCAAAACGCCAATGCACATAAAATAAGAATAAAATTATTTTTTTAAAATCAGCCTGGGGACTGGAGATGTGACTCAGTTGGTCTAGTGCTTGCCTAGCATGGATAAAGCCCTGGACTCTAGACAGAACACAAAGTTGACTTGCTGTGGTGGCACATTCCTCTAATTCCAGCACTGTAGAAGCAGAAGCAGGAGGATCAGAAGTTCAAGACCAGCCTGGGGTCCATGAGATTCTGTCTCAAAAAGCAAGCAAACAAGCCAGGCGGTGGTGGTGCACACCTTTAATCCCAGCACTCAGGAGGCAGAGGCAGGCCGATCTCTGTGAGTTCGAGACCAGCCTGGTCTACAGAGCGAGTTCCAGGACAGGCTCCAAAGCCGCAGAGAAACCCTGTCTCGAAAAACCAAAAAAAAAGCAAGCAAACAGACAAAAACCATAAACCTTGAGCCATCAAATGGTTCAGCGATTGATGACTACCTTATATGCCATCCTAGAGCCTTCATCCAGTCACTGATGGAGGCAGAAGCAGACACCCACAGCTAAGCACTGAACCAAACTCCTGGAATCCAGTTGTAGAGAGGGAGGAGGGATGAGCAAAGGGGTCAAGACCATGCTGGGGAAACCCACAGAACTAGCTGACCTGACCTAGGGAGAGCACGGGGACCCCAGTCATAAAGCTGGGGAAGCAGCATTGGACTGAACCAAGCCCTCTGAATGTGGGTGCCAGTTAAGAGGCCTGGGCAGTCTATGGGGCCTCTGACAGTGGAACCAGCACTTATCCCTAGTGCACAAATGGACTTTGGGAGCCCATTCCCTATGGAGGGATACTATTTCAGCCCCAATACATAGGGGATGTGACAGACTTCAATGATCCCCCATGGAAGGCCTCACTATCCTTGGGGAGTGGGTTTGGGGTGGGTCGGGGGGTTTGGTAGGGGTCATGGGAGGATGGGAGGGAGAGGGAACTAGGGGGATTGATATGCAAAATGATTGTTTCTTTAAAAAAAATGGTTCGGCCAGTTAAGGTACTTGCCACTAAGCTAGATGACATAATCCACATGGTAGAAGAAGAGAACCAACTCCTTCTGACTCCCATTTGCATACTATGGCACTCACACGTGAACACACACACATGCACACACATGCACACAAACACAGACACACACACATACAGTAATAATAAATGTAATAAAACTTTCTCTGAGACAGGGTTTCTCTGTGTAGCTCTGGCCGTCCTGGAACTCACTCTGTAGACCAGGCTGGCCTCGAACTCACAGAGATCTGCCTACCTCTGCCTCCCGAGTGCTGGGATTAAAGGTGTGCACCACCAACGCCCGGCTGTAATGAAAAATAAAAAAAATCAGCTCAGCCATGATGGATGGTGCACTGCTATAAGACAAAAGGATGGCAAGTTTGAGGCTAGCCCAGATCTATATGGCAAGACCCTGTCTCAGAACAACAGACTGTGAACATAACTCAGTGTGCTTGGGTTCTAGCTCTGACAGCATATACACATCCACAAATAAATACCGCAAATAAGTAAGCCTAACCCACCCTCAGTAACACGGCTACTATGACACTATTTTCAAAGCTTTAAAAAATGTGTCTTGAAAACTCCGGCACTCACTCTCCTTGTTGGCATCTCAGCTTCCCATTTAAACCATATGAGCTCACCTGCGCTTGCCCAAACCGAAGACACTGATTCTTTCCCTGCAGGTTGAGGAATGGAGCCATCAGGGAATAAGCTGTGTGGAGCTGAAAGTAGAATGCCACAGTTGATAACGATGTGCTGTGAGACCTTGTTGTAGTTGAGTATGTATCTGTGGTGTGGCCTGGACCAGCAAGCCAAGCTTCGGTCCTGAAGGAGAGGACGAGGGATGAGAAGATAAAAAGATATGAAAGTTGGGATCAGGAGGTGTTGCATCCACAGATGGCTCGTGCTGAGTAAGTTTATTAAGAAGTACTGCATCTTACATACAGTTTACGGGGGGATGGGACGGAGTCCGAATGAAGCTATCATAAAATGGGATGGAGTCGGCAGGAAGCTAGCTCATCAGGTAACGTTGCACAAAGGGAACCCAGGGTATCTCAAGCACACCACAGACCAAGCCCATAGTGGCCTTGGGACTGATAACTCCAGTCTCTTCGAGGGGGAAATGCCAGGTTAGTCCCGGCTGTCGCACAGATCACTATGTAGCCTCTGCCTCCCCTGGGTGCTGAGATTAAAGGCATGAGCCACCACACTTGGCTCTGTAAACGATTTTTAATTTTATCTCGTTTTTATTTAGATTTGTTACAACTTAATGGAGTGACACAGACACACCTGAAGTCGGTGTGACACCTTAAAGTTAATCGTTTTTGCTGTATCTCCTAAATGCAACACCACAGTTCCTAAGCACTTAGTTTAGCCTCTTTGTGCTATCAAAGAAGCTGACTAGCAAATGGGTAGTTTACACTTGTCGGGTAAGGGCCGCTGTGGGAGTGTGAGGGCAAAAAAAAAAAAAACCACGTTATGTTTTAAGTTTAAATTACTGTGCTTAAGAAAGCTACAAAACAACAACAAAACACACCTCTAACCTATATGCCCAACTTGCCCAAGCATAGATAACTTCCTGGAATGCTGGGGCTGTTGTTCATATAAGATAACAAGCCATGTGTGTTCACTTCTGTAAACAAGCTTGGTGGCCCCAACTGCACAGGATGTGTTTGATCACACCTAGGCTGGAGGTATGTGGGCAGGGTGTATGCTTGCCCCTGATTGGATGAAGGTCAGAAGTACATAGCCTGGTGGGGTTTGCTTTTGTAAGCCTTTAGCTAACATAATTCAATGCCATACCCTGGTGATCTCTGGTATGGACCTGGCCAGTGTCCATTGCCCTGGCCTGTATTTAATAAAGCTTGTTTCAAATTTGGCTCAGAAATTAAGGTAGCGGTCTTATTCTCTGCCAGTAGGATTAACAGAAGCAGCTGCTGAAGCTACTGCAGTGACTATTGCAAAAATTTGGATCTGAAGAAGTTAAGTATCTCAGACTTGGCCAGGCGTTGGTGGCGCACATCTTTAATCCCAGCACTCACTCGGGAGGCAGAGGCAGGTGGATCTCTGTGAAGATCGAAACCAGTCTGGTCTACAAGAGCTAGATCCAGGACAGCCTCCAAAGCCACAGAGAAACCCTGTCTTGAAACCACCCCCCCCCCAAAAAAAAAACTGACCTAGGGCTGGAGAAATGGCTCAGAGGTTAAGAGCACTGACTGCTCTTCCAGGGATCCTGAGTTCAATTCCCAGCAACCACATAGTGGCTCACAACCATCTGTGATGAGATCTGGTGCCCTCTTCTGATATGCAGGCAGAACACTGTACACATAATAAATAAATCTTTAAAAGAGAAATCTGACCTAAAAATCTCTGCTTTCTAGTAAGAGCCTGGTGCAGGTCAAGGAGACCTGTGGTTGTTTATGACGCCATGGATCATGAAGGTGCGCAGCAGTCATAACAAAGGAAGTCTGCCCCAAGAGGAGAGCTGTTAAAAATGAGGAAGAGCTTACGCACAGAGAGAAAACTACTGCACTGAGGGATCCCATTCAGTAGCACACACGGAAGGTTAACCCACACGCGGAAGGTTAACGCCGGCAGTGAGTCCAAACCTAGACGGTGCCACAGCTGTTCGTCATCTCCAAAAGTCCCACAGGCTGAGCCTTTCCTTTTGGAGACACTGCGACGGGACTCAACTAACGAGGGGATCCTAGGACTTCGACTTCGTCTAGACCAGGCGGGTGTCTCCAGGACAAAAGGGCCAGCACCTCAGACTGTCCTTTCAGAGGCGCAAGTTAACTAGAAGCAGGGAGCATGACCCGATTCCGTTCTGAGAGGAGGGTGTCAGGTTCTTACTGCACATGGGAAGCACCCATCCAGGGGAGGTTACCCGGGGGTGAGTAGAGACGGGAAAACTCAAGTGATGAATTGACGGCTAATGTTGTGGGGCGCATTGTTTCTGCCTTCTCTCTGCAGGTCTGAACTGCTTTGTAACATAAATGCTTGGGCAATGAATGCGTAACTAACGCTCAAGCGGGCGGCCGCAACAAAGCGTGCAAGAAATTAGGTCCTCTTCCTAGGCCCAATCCCCAGGATGTACTGCGCATGAAAACCAACACAGACAAGTACTGCTCCTGCAGGTCTGGGGCCCACATCGGCGGGGGCGTCAAAGGAGACACAGTAAATCCCGGCAGCCGAATCCAGGCAGCCTCGGAAAGACCTCACTGCTCAGCCGTGAGGTCTTTCCCACTGCTGCAGGTAACAGGGTTGGAGATGGAGCTGAGTTCACAAGATGCATGGAGCCCCGGGCTCCACCCCAGCGTGGCATAAAGCCAGGCCTGCTTGTGAATTCCTGCAGTGCCGAGGCTTGGAAGGTGGAGTCGGGAGTCACTGAAGTTCAAGGTCATCCCTTGGCAACCTGGGAAGCTAGGCCAGCTTGGGCTGAGAGCAGCAGGAGGAAACAGGGAGTGGCCTGGTAGACTCAATTCTACAGGTTACAACCTATTAATAGGCCATCAAGTCATAATTTAAAAGGAGAACTAGAAAAGAGGGTTTGGTGAAACTTCGTTGCATTGTAAAGCGTGTTTCTTACTGCCAGAGGCTGAGGATTAAAAGCAGAGTTTGAAGGACACTGCCGGACCCCAAGCGCAACATGGGTCGCCAAGGCTGCCTGCCCCGCTCTGCGCATGAGGGCCCACGGCTCATTCCTGCAATAATTGCGCACGCAGGTCTGACTTCCGAGAAGGTTGCTGGGGCGACTAGCTGGTTAATGGGTAACTCTGCTCCTCCACCCGCTCCTTTCCAGCCCTCGGTGTCCCCCTGGAGCAGGACGTGGCGCGGTCAGGGGACACTGACTCACAGCTGACTCAGCGCAAGGCGCGCAGCCAGGGGGAGCCTGGCGGAGCCGGCTTTGCCCGCCGCTCTAGGAGGGGCCTAGGACCGGAAGGGACTTGGTCCTGCAAGGGGCGCTCAGATCTCACCTGGGACCAAAGCCTGGCCTGGCCACACCTGGTGGGTCCGTAGCTGGCCAGTGGAGGCTAAAGCGCTGTTTCCGCCCTCTTCCCGTAGCCTGATCCCTAGAGCGCAGCCACCCCGCTGTGCAGTCCAGGAAGCCCCTCCAGGACCCCTTGGAGAACCGCAGGGCACCTTCAACCTGATTTATCTCTCTCTGGTCTCTTCACCAGGCAATGCCGAGTGAGAGAAACAACAGCGTCTTCGCTTGCTCTGTAACCTCCCAGGTTGGCCAGGGCTGTGACAAAGGCCAAAGGATATGTGTTTGGGTGGCCAGCGTTAAATATTCACCCCCAGGATACATAGCCAGCTAATCAGACCAACCTCCCCCCCTCTATATAATACTTAGTATTAAACGACATATAATATATTGCTTACATTATGCACGATATATGATATAACAATATATGATTTTATATAACATGTAATGCTATATATTATAGTATGTATGTGTACTATATAATATATATAATTAATATATTTAAAATTTTATATATGAGCACTGGGCAGGCTGAGGCAGGAGGATAGTGAGTTTGAGGGACGTTCTAGATCGAGTTCACTAAGATGAGCGATGACACACCTTAAATGTGGGAGGCGCTCTTCCCTGCATCGGGGTCCTGGACTGAATGAAAATGAAAAAGTCGTCTAAACACCAGCGCTCATCTCTCTCTGCGTCCTGACTGTAGACGCAATGTGAGCACCTGTCTCAAGCCCCGGCCCCCATGCCTTCCCCACCATGGTGACCGTAACTGGAGGTGCGAGCCAAAACAAGCCTTCTTATATTTTTGGTTGTGAACCCAGCCTTTAACGGCTGAGCCATCTCTCCAGCCCCCGAAACAAGCCTTTAAGAGCTGCTTTTGTTGGGTGCTTTGTGGCAGGAAGGAGAACAGTAACTAATACACTAGTGTCACCACGCTCACAAGTGTCGTTCCGTCCCGAGACCCAGTAGGACATTTTCATCCTTCTTCAGGATACCTGCGATGCTGAGTGTTGTTGTCCACCTGATCATCTAGTGTGGTTTGGGGGGGCGAGTCTCAGTGAGACTTGATCCAGGTTGGCCTCTAGCCAAGTCTGGAGGGGACCTCCTTGATTGCATTGATTTCTGTGGCAAGGCACAGTCTGTAAGTGGATAGCGGCGTTCTCTGCATCTGGGTCCTGGGCTGTGTAACAGGGGAAAAAGTAGGCAGAGTGTAAACACACTTTTTTTTGGTTTTTCGAGACAGGGTTTCTCTGCGGTTTTGGAGGCTGTCCTGGAACTCACTCTGTAGACCAGGCTGACCTCCAACACACAGAGATCCTCCTGCCTCTGCCTCCCGAGTGCTGGGATTAAAGGCGTGCGCCCCCACCGCCCGGCATAAACACACTTTTTGTTGGCTCGTTTCTCAGTGCTCTTAGCTGTGGATGTGGTATGCCAAGCTCCCCAAGTCCCTGTTGCCCTGACTTCCCCACAGCAGTGGACTCTGACCTGGAACTGAAAGCCAGATGAGCCCTTTCTTCCTCCAGCTGCTTTTGTCAGGGTGGTTTTTGTTTGTTTGTTTTTTTTTAATCCCAGTCATGGGAAACAAAACTAATACAGAAGCCATCAAACTAAAGGCAGTGGATACAAATGTTCTCTGATACGAAGTGGCCCGCCCCTAGCAAGCCCTCATGGCGATGAGCCCTGGTAGGAGCCCAGGCTGTTGGCACTTCCCCTGGGGGAGTGTTCTGGAGAGGATGGTGTGAGCATGGCCTCTGGCCTTTTGAACCTTGTGCTCATCTCAGGCAGGTAGACAGTCCTGGTTGTCCTCCGCAGTGTCACTCTGTCCTTTAGGGCTCTTCCAAGATCCCCTGGCGGTTTTGGAGGGTCAGCTTAATGCATTTGACCTTGACAGTGCCTGAGTCTGTTTTCTGTTGCTAGAATAAAATACCCGAAACTGGTTAATTCACAAGCAGCAGCAGCTAGCCTAGGTGTACCGGTTACTTGTTTTACTGCTGTGACAAAGAGATCTGACAAAAACTGCTTGAAGATGGAAAGACTCGATTTGGCTCATTTTTTTCCCCAAAGTTTTCTTTCTTTTTTTTTTTTTTTTTTTTTTTTTTTGGTTTTTCGAGACAGGGTTTCTCTGTATTGTTTTGGAGGCTGTCCTGGAACTCACTCTAGACCAGGTTGGCCTCGAACTCACAGAGATCCGCCTGCCTCTGCCTCCCGAGTTCTGGGATTAAAGGCGTGCGCCACCAACGCCCGGCTTCCCCAAAGTTTTCATTTGATTATTTAATGTACGTGGGTGTTTTTGCTTGCATGTATGTCCGTGAACCCCTTGAGTCCCTGCTGCCTGAAGACGTCATCGGGTTCCCTGGGTGTGTGGGTGTGGCGTGCACATGTCATCCCAGAGCTGGTGATGTGGAAGACAAGCAGATTCCGGGGTTCACTAGCCAGCCAGCCTAGCCAGAGTGGTGATGAGCCATGCCCGCTGTTGTTGTCTGCTGGCCAAGGCTGCCTTCTGTGTTCCACACACGTGCACGCGTGCACACGTGTACCTGCACTCGATAGTAACAGTGGAATAAAAAGTGAGAACAAATGTCAGCATCTAATGACGGTGACAGTCAAAAGGCAAGCACGGTAGCCGCGTATCACTGCGGGCAAGCGTTTCTTTGTATGTAGCCATCCGGCCAACAATTTGACCTTTAAATAGTGGCGTGAATGTAAACGTGAAATTGCTGCATGATTCATCAAACACTTTCCTAGATATTTACCTAAGAGGAATGAAAACGCATGCCCACACAAAGACCTACTTCCTTGCGTTCTGGAATCCGCATTTAACAGGAGCCGAGAACCAGAGAATGGAAAATGAGCTGCGCTGCACCCATGCTCAGAGAAAAAAGGAGAGGGGGCCGGCGTGGGCGACAGAGGCCGTTGCTGATGGTGTCTCCCGAGAAGCCCACAGAGGCAGACATCCGATCAGGGGCAGGCAGGGGGGCAGGGCAGGGCCCCAGGGAGTGAGAATGACAGAAATACGCAATCTCCCGATTGCAGACTTTGTGCACCTGTGGCCTTTGTCAGAGCGGGTTGAACATTACACTCAAAAGGCCGACGTTGGGGCTGGAGACAGGGTCGTCATTTAAGAGTGCTCTTGCAGAGGGCCTGAGTTCAGTTCCAACGTGCAGCAGCTTAAGACTGCCTGTAACTCCAGCTCCAGGGGATCTGAAGCCCTCTTCTGGACTCCCTGGGCACCTACAGTCACTGGCATATCAGCTTACATAGACATACCTACACACATAATTCAAAACTACACATAAGACAAAGAAAATGAATAAAAATAAATGTTTTTTTTTTTTTGTTTCTTTTGAGACAGGGTTTCTCTGTGGCTTTGGAGGTTGTCCTGGAACTCGCTCTGTAGACCAGGCTGGCCTCAAACTCACAGAGATCCGCCTGCCTCTGCCTCCCGAGTGCTGGGATTAAAGGCGTGCACCCCCACCGCCCGGCAAAAATAAATGTTTAAAAGGGGTGATTTTATTGCATATAAGCTACGCCTCAATGAATCTGATTTTTTCTTTAAAAAAGGTTTTTATGCCACTGGGATGGGCTCCATTCATCACCACTTCTTTTCTGTTTGTCAGGCAGTGTGTCCGGGTCTCATAGAGCCCACACTGTCCCCAAGCTTACTAGTAGCCAGGGATGAACTTCCGTTTCTGACCCTCTCGCTCTACAGCCTGAGTGCTGGCACTCCGGGTGCGCTGTGCTCCGTCTCACCTGGCTTATGTGGCCTGGGGGATCGGAACCAGCGAGGGCTCTTCGCATGTGAGGACAGCGCTCTACCAGCTAGCCACATCTCCAGCACCGCCGCCAGTTATTAGCTGGACCCTGTGTCGCCTCTCTCCAGCCCTGCCTTCCCCCACAGCAGAGCCAGGGAAGATGCACCCAGGGGAGCAGACATTGGCGGTCAAGAGCTTGGGGTTAAGAGAGGCTCAGTGGGCCAGCGGACTGTCCGCAGGCAGCCCCCTCTGCTCACCCTGCAGAAGTGGGAGTCTAACGGCTGCCCGCCGAGCCAGAGTGCTCCAAGGTGTGCAGAACGCTCCTCTGCAGCCCGTGTTGACGCTGCGCATCTGTCATCCTAGCGCTTAGCGGCCTGTGGCGCCAGGACTGCAAAGGTGGGGCAACAACAGAGCAGCCCCTTACCCTATCCCCGACCTCCACAGGTGCTCGCTGGTGACGGTTGACAGCTGCCTTCTGCAAAAGGTTCTCAGCGCTCCCGGGTAGCGCGGGGCACTGTGTTTTCACACGTGCAGCACTGTGTTTTCACACGCGCACGTCACGCTTTGATCACACCTGCCCTGCGGCCCTGCCTTTACTCCTCCTGCCTCCCCCTGCTGCCCTCGCCCTCACTCATAGCCCCTGCCACACTTTAATATTTATACGCCGGGCATGGAGGGCGTTACCCATCGCTCGCTCCTCCTCCTCTCGCTTCCCTGTAGGCCCCGTCCTTCCCTCCCTTCCTCCTTCCCACGGAGTCTCCCTTCTAGTTTCATGTCACGCCGTGTTTGTATATGTGACTTGTATGTCACACATATATGCATATATGTGTATGTATGTATGTATGTATGTGTGTGTGTGATTCTTCATATAGGAGAAAGTATCATTTGTCTTCCAAGCTGGCCTGTTTCACTCAACACGATGCTCTCCAGTCGCACACTCCTTTTCACGAGAATGACATAATTTCACTCCTCTGTGGCTAAATAGAACTCTACGGTGTGCGCGTGCGTCACATTTTTTTTATGCACACGTCTGTTGATGGACGCGCGGCTGGCTTCACATCTGGGCCGTGGTGAGCAGGGCTCAGGAAACCTGAATGAGCAGGTGTCCATGCTGACTCACTTGACCTTTAAACCCACAGACGTCCTTGAGATGAGAATTGTCCCCTGACTGCCGGAGTCAAGGCCCTGTTTGCTCTGCGTAAAACTTTTAGTTAAACCGCTTATGTGCGGATGAGACCGATGAGTCAGCGAGTCGGCACTCACAGACACCGGCTGGCAAGCCCAAGATCTGAGTTCAGGCCTTGGAACCCATGTGACGGCAGAATGAGGAAATCCACTCTCTTAAGTTGTCTTCTGGCCTGCACGCACGCACAAGTGCTCACATTTTGTACACACACACACACACACACACACACATACATATGCATACATGAACACTGGCACACATGCACACACGTATACGCGCGCACACACACACATGCACACACACACACATGCACACACACACACATGCGCGCGCGCGCGCACACACACACACGCACACACACACACACACACACACACTATTAAGACCTTTAAAGAAAATGTAAACAGGGGCTGGAGAGATGGCTCAGAGATTAAGAGCACTGGCTGCTCTTCCAGAGGTCCTGAGTTCAATTCCCAGCAACCACAGGGTGGCTCACAACCATCCGGAAAGAGATCAGGCGCCCTCTTCTGGCCTGCAGGGATACATGCAGGCAGAACGCGGTGTACATGATAAATAAATACACCTTTTTGAAAATGTAAATGCCCCACTGGGGTGGATACTCTCACTAACCGTGTGTTACAGATGTCTAGCTGAGGCTCGGGAGAAGCTGAGCGATAAGCAAGGAGCCACCCCGAGCTTCCGGATCCCAAGCTGAAACGTGTCGGGCCACCTTGTCACTCACCGCCTCCCAAAGCCCCGCTGCGAGATTTGCAGTAGGACTGACAGGATTGGGGTGCACTTGAGAGAGACTCTCCCATCGAGGTGGATCAGTGGCTGATTCCACCCCGGACCTCGGCCTGGTGCAGCGTAGTGGGGGATAGGGAGGGTGGCACAGTGTCCCCTGCCAGAAACCTGCGAAGGGGCTCAAAGCTCTTGAGTGGCTGGTGGCTGGTAACTCGGAGCACGGTGCAGAGTCCCCAGGGAGGCTGCCGCCGTGAGGAGCTTCTCTGTGGAAGCCCGAGGATCTCCTGCAGGCAGTCTGCCTGGCTCCCAGGCAACAGACAGGACACATCAGTATCGCGACTCCCAAGCCCCTGGGTTTGGACTTTGCCACCTTGGGCGTCCGGCATGCAGGTTGGGGTCAGTGTGCGCACCCTGCTAGACTTGGCAATGGAATTGAGCTTTTGAGCGAGGTGGGAAGCGCTGGAGCCGAGGGAAGCTGCCGTCACGGGGCATCTGCAGCACATGGGCTTGGTAGGCCACGAGACAGCGGCAGCAGACTTGTGGGGCGGTCACACCTGGGCCGAGAGCACCCGCCACGTGTTTATTTCACAAGCTCCCGGAAAGCCGGGTAGAACTGTCTCATGGCGACAACACAAAAAGTTCTCCGGGGCGCACAAGCAGACCCTTGTGCGCCCTTGCCTTTGGCCTTAAAGGCCTGAAAGGCCAGGAACTGAGGTCTCCTTCTCCAGGCGGCTGCCACAGCCGGCTCACAAACAGCCGCCGGCTCCCCACTCCCCGTAACTTCATTTCCAGACACCTCACACTCCATGTTGGCCCCAGCCATTCCAGGACTTTCCCACTGCCTGTCTGAGGAGCCCTCGCACCTTGGGTGACCGTGGCACCAGCCCTCTTTGCTCTTCAGATTTTTGAATTTGGCCCCATACCTGGTCAGTTAGAAGTTCTCTAAGACCTTACTCCTCAGGACTGAGATGGAAAATCTGGTTGGCTGCCTGGGTCAAACAACTTTCCCACATGGCAAAGACAGACCGACCAGTTGGAGCCAAGCTCCCAGTTCAGGGCGAAGACTGAAGACAAGGGCAGCGTCACCAAGAGCATTGGTGCAGGCTCCCTGATATGGGCAGCTCAAGGAAGAAAGGTGCTCTTTCCCAGACACCTTAGCTGGGAGCTCCCTGCAGCTCTCCCGAGTCTCCCTTTTCTTACCAGCTCCCAAAGGGCCAGGGGAGCCAGAAGCCTTCTAAACAGGCCTGCCTCCCATCCATCAACTCTGTCTATTTGGACTTCTGAGAGACCCCTCTTGTAAAACAGAGGGGACAGTAAGAGCATCTTATCACTTATGGCATCCTAGATTTGACGAGACAGGGACTCTCCCGAGTGTACGGTCCATGAACAAGATGTGATGCTCGTCTTCCCGTCAGTCACTACAGGGCTAAAACGAGGCCGCATTTGCCAGTCTGCTCACACACGCTCGATTCTCCCTCCCCCCCCCCCCGCCCTCCCTCTCTTCTAGACAACGTCTTTGATGGGCAGAGGTGAGCACTGGACACATGCTCACACAGGCTCGACTCCCCCCCCCTTCTAGACAACGTCTTTGGTGGGCAGAGGTGAGCACTGGACACATGGAGCCTGGCGGAGCAGGGATCAGAAAACCGCTTGTTTGTTTGTCTGGAGAGAGAGAGGTTCAACACCACGGGCTAAAGCAAATATTTGTGGTTATGGATTAACCTGACTCCCAGACTGACATGGAGACACCAGGACGAAACTGCAGTTTCTCGTTGGCCCACCCCTGTAAGTCCCCCTCAAGGCTGCGGAGGAAAGGGTGGGGAGGAGAGTCAGGCTTGAGGAAGAGGAGAGCCCTGAGCCAAGGATCTCCAGGCAGACTGAAGCTTGAGGCGGAGGGAAAGAGGGCCAGACCCTATCTAGGCGAGGCGAGCGTGTGCTGACATTCCCTATAATCCAAGCGGCCCTCTCGACACATCAGATCGTGTGAGTCACGTGGAGCTCAGCCGAGGGGTCCCCACGATCCAGAGGGGTCTCAGCACCCAGAACCCTCGCTACGCCACTCCACCCTACCCTCCAAGATGGAACCCATGAAGCGGGAAGTTAGCAAAGGAAGAAGAAGGGCCGGGAGGGGCTGTGCAGCCGGGACAGGCAGGTGTGCCCACCCAGTCTTGGGGACACTAGAGGTCTTGCAGGTTGATCATTGGTTCCGGGCAGGAGTTAAGGTTCCAGAGCTTGAGGCCAAACCCTGCCCCCCTCTTAGGTGTAGGTTTGTAATAAGCTGCTTCTCTCCCCGAGCCTCTGGGTTCCTTCCCAGGAAATGGGGATAAAAACATTAATGCCTACCTCTTGGGCGGTTGTAAACCTAGACTAAGCCAGTAACAGTGAATGGTGACAGCGTGTACGTGTGTGTGTGCGCGCGCGCGTGTTCTAGTCTTGGGGGTTGAACCCAGAGTCTTTTTTTTTTTTTTTTTTTTTTTTGGTTTTTCGAGACAGGGTTTCTCTGTATTGTTTTGGAGGCTGTCGGTCCAGCCTGGCCTCGAACTCACAGAGATCTGCCTGCCTCTGCCTCCCGAGTGCTGGGATTAAAGGCATGTGCCACCACTGCCCGGCTGAACCCAGAGTCTTAAACATGCTAACTATGTTCTCTCCTGCTGAGCTGCAAGCCCCCCTCCCTGTATCCAATACCTGTTCAGCAGTTTGGAGGAGGTGTGAGGAGTCTAGGAAGATGGCGTAGCTGAAAAGTGCTTGCCCTGTAAGTGTGAGAGCCTGAGTTTGAATCCCAGAACACGTCTTTAAAAAGTGTCAGACGCAGTGGCGCACACTGACAGTCCCAGTGCTAGAGGGAAGAAACAAGCAGACCCCGACCATCTACTTGATGAATTCTGTGAGACTTTGTCTCAAAAATAAAGTGGAAGCCAGGCATGGTGGCACACCCCTTTGGTTCCAGCACTCAGGAGGCAGAGGCAGGCGGATTGCTATGAGTTGAAGGCCAGCCTGGTCTACGTAGTTCCAGAATAGCCATGGTTGCCTCAAAAAACAAACAAAAACCTGGGGGAGTGGGGGGAAGCCTGGAGAGCCTGGGGAAGGACAGCCAGGATCACCCTGGTCTCCACACGCACACACGCCTATGCACACGTGACAGGCCCTGTGTGGCTACGGGTTTTTTTCCCCCAGCAACTCTTTATGGGAGAAAGAGAGTTTATCTGTTTTACAAATGAGGAAACGGAGGCATGGGGCAGGTAAACGTCTTGTCAAATTCTCTCTCTCTCTCTCTCTCTCTCTCTCTCTCTCTCTCTCTCTCTCTCTCTCTCTCTCTCTCTCTCTCTCTCCTGAATAAACTGGAATTTGCCCCCAAGCAGTGACTTTTCTCCTTGTAGGTAGCTGGAGTGTGCCTAGCTTCTAAGGCAAACGATTGCCTGTGAACAGTGTAGCCCATTCTCAGCCCCCATTTCCACACAGACGATGAGCACACAGAGACGTCCTTTCCTCCCTCCCTTTCCTTCTTGCTTTTTCTTTTGTGTGTGTGTCTGTCTGTCTGTGTGTCTGTCTATCTGTGTCTGTCTGTCTGTCTGTGTGCTCTCGAGCACGTGTGAGCATGCATGCTCACATGGGGAGGCAAGAGACAGACTTCAGGTATTTTCTTAGAGCTATTCACCTTGTGTTTTGAGTCAGGGTCTCCTACCGGCCTGGCACTTGTCAGCTGGCGCTGGTCCAGCAGGCTAGCAACCCTGGCTGTCTGTCCAGCCATCCACGGGCATCCGCTTGCCTCTGCCTCCTTGGTACTGGGATTACAAACACATGCCACGTTTGACACCTAGATTTTTGTTCTAGCTTACTCAAGTCTTCATGTTTGCAAGTGCTCCAGTGACCCACGTATGGTCTCCCCTGCTCAGGGATGACCCTTTCATTCCACTTTAGGGGGCTGGGGGGCCGGAACGGCTGCAGGTGTCCTTGGAGCTTAGAGGTTCTCCTCAGACAGGTGTCAGCAGCTCCAGGATGTGGCGAGTCAGAATGTTCCTGCTGTTCCTGTCCACCTGGGGGATTTCTAGCTCACCGACCCCTCTCGGTAAGACTGTCTCCACCCCTCTCCCCGCAAGGCCCTCAGAACCTCCACTGGCTTCGCATGGCACTGGCGCAAGTGGACCTCTCTGGAGTTGCCTCAGCTGTCTCCAGGACTTGCGTCCTCCTCTGAGCGCCCTGTCTACCTACCGAGTCCTCTTCTAGCCCGCCCTGCCCACACCAGCTCTCTGGCCCCTCAGCCACCCCAGCTCCCGGGCACAACCTCCCTGCACGCATTGCTCCAGCCCCGCCTGCACGCATTGCTCCAGCCCCGCCTGCATGCACTGCTCCAGCCCCGCCTGCACGCTTCTGATTCAGTCCCTCCCTCTTAGCTTTTCTCCCGCTCCCGAGACGGGCATCTCTCAGAACCGGGGGACGGTGTTCCTGCTCAAGGGAAGAAACGGGGACTGTATGGTGGAGGGTGCTGGAAGTCAGGGGGAGAGACGAGAAGGGCTCACTCAGCTGTGCTGGGAGAAGCGTGAGACAGATTTCACTTTGCAGTCTCGTCCTTTTATGACTATTTATGTTACTATTAGACGACGTTGTGTAAGGCTGTTTCCGTGTACACATGCCTTCAGTTTTATCAGCATCAGGATACTGGCACTGTCCCTAACTAAGCGCTTCGTTCTGCACAAGAACACCTTGTCGAGTATTCCAGGCATGCCCTCAGAGGAAGATCTGCTTGTTTGCTCCAGAGCTCGTGCTCTGAAAGACCGTGCTGCTGCTTTCCCGGGGATCCTGGGAACAGGGCAGAAAAGCAGGGATGCCCTGGAGTTTTGTGAGGTCGGCGGGACCAGGGTGAGGTCTGGCCAGGCTTTCTGCACCTGGGATCCTTCACATCCCTCTTGGCCTGTCTTGGGACCTCTCCACCACACTGACTCCCATCCCAAAGCAGACCCAGTGTTCTCCAGCAGTGAGCGTGCCCACCAGGTGTTACGGACCAAACGTGCCAACAGCTTCCTGGAGGAGATGAGGCCGGGCAACCTGGAACGGGAGTGTATGGAGGAGATCTGTGACTTTGAGGAAGCCAAGGAGATTTTCCAAAATGTGGATGACACAGTAAGACCACAAGGCTAGGTCCAGAGGGTGGGTGGGTGGGGGCCTCGGGATGGGCTGGTGGCTGGATGAGACCCTAGAGGAGCAATGGGCATGATGACTACCATCGGGGCCCTTTTTGGAGTCTTAAGAGTTGGTTGGTCATGTAGATGCTGTGTAGGGTGAAGTCTTTTCCTTGCCAGCTGCTTTGGTTTTTCCCCACCAGTCACCTGGGCTCTACCACGTTGTAGTCCCCAAATAACACACAAGACGCGGTGTTAATTATGAAGCTATTGGCCTTGCTTGTTTCTTACTGGCTAGCTCTGACTTAAGTATTTAACCCATCTAAGTATTTCTCTTACCGGACAGACATCTTACTTCTCTGGCGGGCTACATGATGTCTCCCTGTGTTTCTCCTACCCAGAGTCCTCCTGGACTCCTAGTCCCACCTATCTTGCTTCCCTATTGGCCAACAGTGCTTTATTGACATATAAACAGGACTTCCCCATCAATGCTGATTTTATTTAAAGGCTTGGTGGGGGCACGGGGGACTCTAGGAACCTGGACCCTGAAATTAAGCTCAGGGAGAAGGTCCGGGCAGCCCTCCAGTGGTTGCCTATCTACCCATCTCTCCCTCTCTGTGGTCAGGCCATCTTCCTCTCCTCCACGCTGTCCTGCACCTTAAGATTAGGTGGGTGACCAAGACTTTCTAATGTCTGTCCCCACAGGGCACACTGAGCCTCAGCCACTTGAGACTTATTTAGAAATACAGAAGGGAAGGGACTTAGATTCTTTCCACCGAGGATGCTACTGTGGAGGGAGATGACCCCGTGGGCAGAGTCCCGCTGTATGGAGAGGGTGTTGTGGGCCGGGCAGCCAAGAGCACCGTGCCCATCCCTGGACAGCTCGCATCCAGGAGGAGGCAACACCTTGTGGGCTTCCCTTAAGCTAGGCATCGGGGCCCTGACTCTCCACCTCTCTGCTGCCACAGCTGGCCTTCTGGATCAAGTACTTTGGTGAGTGAGTCTTGGATACCTGGATGGACAGATAGACGGATAGTCGATGCGTGCTCCAGGGCCGGTGGAGGTCGGAGAGGAGACCGGAGGTACCCACATCCTGCGCTGCCCCACCCCGCTGTCTCTCACAGATGGTGACCAGTGCGCGGCTCCACCCTTGGACCACCAGTGCGACGGCCCGTGCTGTGGCCACGGCACGTGCATCGACAGTCTGGGCAGCTTCATCTGCCTCTGCCACAAGGGCTGGGAGGGCAAGTTCTGCCAGCAGGGTGAGGGGCCCCGGGGAGGCAGCGGGGTGGGGTGGGGTGGGGAACCGGTGGTAGGGTCACCGCGAGCTATCCGGACTCCCCTGTCGCACAGAACGCGGCTTCCACGACTGCCAGGTGCACAACGGCGGCTGCGCGCACTACTGCCTGGAGGAGGGCGGCGGGAGGCGCTGCACCTGCGCACCGGGCTACGAGCTGGCGGATGACCACATGCGCTGCAAGCCCACCGGTGAGCCACGGCGGGCCTGCCCGCAGAGAGCACAGGCCGGGAGGCAGGGAGCGCCCCGAGAGCGAGCGCATCCTGGGGACCCAAGCCAGAGGGACACACGCACACACACACACACACACACACACACACACACACACACACACACACACACACACACACACCGACCCGGCGTGCAGTCCCTTGCCTGTTGGCCAGATCTCGGGCGCCCCTGGAGCACCCCTGTTAGGCGCACAGTTTCTGAGCTGCCCTAGGACACAAGGCATCAGTGTCTTCCTCCTTCTGCCTTCCTGGATGTGTTACTTCCTCGCAGAACCCCGACTCTGCCTTTCTTTTAGGTTTTCCTTGAATTTTTCTTTTGAATGAATCTGCTTATGTGGTGTAGTTTGAGAAGTCAGGGTAGCCAGGCGGCGGTCACACACGCCTTTAGTCTCAGCACTCTGGAAGCAAAAGCAGGTGGATCTCTTTGAGTTCGAGGACAGAGAGATCTAGGACAGTCGAGGCTACACCAAGAAATCCTGCCTCCAAAAAACACAACAAAACGAACCAACAGACAAAAAGTAAGATAAAAAGAAAACAGAATATTGTTAAAAGAATAGATTTCCCCTATAAAACCTTAATAAACTATTATAATGACTAGCATTTAACTATCAAGGGTCAAAAATTGTTTCTGAGACACGGTTATTTTTGTTTGTTTGTTTGTTTTGTTTTGTGTATCCCTAGTTGTCCTAGAACTTGCTCTGTAGACCAGGCTGGGCTCGAACTCACAGACATCTGCCTGCCTCTGCCCCCGGAGTGCTGGTACTAAAGGCGTGTGCCACCATCGCCCAGCTGAGTTCTAATTTTTTTAAAGATTTATTTATTTAACATGTATACAGTGTCCTGCCTGCATGTATCCCTGCAGGCCAGAAGAGGGCACCCCATCTCATTACAGGTGGTTGTGAGCCACCATGTGGTTGCTGGGAATTGAACTCGGGACCTCTGGAAGAGCAGCCAGTGCTCTTAACCTCTGAGCCATCTCTCCAGCCCCGAGTTTTAAATTTTTTAATTAAAAATGTTTCCCGCATAATCTGTATGTATAAAATAAATATGTGAACATGTGATTTGTTAGAAAAAAAGGGTTTATTTCAATATATTATGATTACCCCCCACTCTTCCCAGTTCATCCTCTCATCCCCTCCCTTCGGGGGCCCAACCTTTCTGTCTCTCCTTAGAAAACAGGAGAATAATCTTTAAATAAAATAAGATAAAATTTAAAAATTGAAATATGCCAAAACAAGAAAAAGATCCAAAGAAAAAGCCCAAGAAATGCATATAGATACAGACACACACACACACACACACACACACACACACACGCACACAGGAATCCCATAAAAAACCCAAACTGGAAGCCATAATATATATGCTGAGGTTAAAAAAAAAAAGCCCTGACTCAGTTTTCTGACAGAACCGCCAATGACTTTGCTTTGTGTTGACCATTTACTTCTGGGTGTAGCCGAGTGTCACCGGGGTCCTTGGTTGCTGTGTTCCTTTAGCAGAACATTTGGTTTTCCCCTAGTCCCTGCCTACCTGGTCTCAGGCTTCTGGCCACCTAAGCAGCGTTGTTAGGTGTGGGTGCCGCCTCGAGGGACGGGCCTTAACTCAGATCAGATGCTGGTTGGTGACTCCAGCGTGTGGTGAAGACTGCACCAGCGTGTGTGTGCTGCAGGGCACTCTTGTCGATGGGATGGTCAGTAGCTGGGTTGGTTTTTGCCTTTCTCCTTTGTCAGCATGCAGAGAACCTTCCGGTACCATGAATACTAGTCCCTAGCGGTGTAGGCCCTAGGTAGACACCAGCTGGAATTCTCCATGTTCAAGGAGTTTTGTCGGTGTTCTCCTCAGCAATAGGGCCTTGCTTTACCATTGGTTTGTAAAGAACCACCAGTGCCCTTGCAATAGGTTGGGTTGTTTGGAGGTTCCCTTGGACAACTTTGGCAAAGAACTCAATTAGACGTAATGCATTCCTGGTACTGGAAGCTTCCTTCGGTGACAAGAAATGTTCTGTTGTACCTCTGTCTCCCTTGTTATTTGGCAATTTCATTTAGATTGCACATACATAGACATAGACATATATACACGTACATACAATACATGCACATACATATGCTCTACTGCGCTAGGTCTCCACACAGTGCCTCCAATGGCACTTAGTTTCAGCCACCCTCCTCACATTCCCCACCTCACCCCATCTTCCCTGGCGTCTGTGTTTGGTCCTCCCACCCCAGTCCTCCCCCTCGTCCATCTGTAACTATCTGTGCTATTTCCGTTTCCTAAGGAGAGCCATCGTCCTCTATAGTCCCTTACTCTCCACCTAACCTCTGTGGTCATGTAGACTGTCGCTTGCTTGCCAATGACTTAACAACTAGCATCCACATGTGAGAGAAGACAGACCATACTTGTCTTTCTGGGTCTGAGATACCCTACTCAGGACGGTTTTTGTTTTTCTGTCTCCATTCACTTACTTGCGACGTTCATGGTTCTATTCATTTATTTACTTTAGAGCTGAGCAGTATTTCAGTCTGTAAACACACCACATTATCTTTATCCATTCATCCAGGGACAAACGTCTAGGTTGTTTCCAACTTTTGGCTTTTATTAATGCGGCTGAGTAGGTATCTCTGGGGTAGAATGAAGTATCCTTTGGGTACACACACGCCCAAGAGTGGTATAGCTGGATCTTGAGGTAGATCGATTCCCGTCTTCCTGAGGAACTGCCCACCGATTTCCGCAGTGTCTGGACAAGTGTGCACGCCCACCAGCCGTGGACGCACGTCCCCTATGCTTCACATCCATTACAGCGTGAGCTGTCGTTTGTGTCACTGACCTTGGCCGTTCTGATTAATTTCAAAGTACTTTTGATTTGCGTTTCCCTCCTGGCTGAGGGTGTCAAAAAATCCCTCAAGTGCTTCACAGAAATTTGTGTTTCCTTTTTTTTTTTTTTTTGAGGCTTCTGCTTAGCTCCATACACAATTTTTAAATTGGGTTATTTGTTTTCTTGGTGTCCAGTTTTTTGAGTTCTTTGCACACTTTAAACCTCAGCCGTCTGTTGTATGTGCAGTTGGTAAAGGTCTTTTCACACTCCCCTTTGCCTTGCAGAAGTTTGTCGGTTTCATGAAGACCCACTTACTGATGTTGATTTTAGTGCCTGTACCTGGCGTTCTGTTCAGAGAGTCCTTGCCTGTATAAATGAGCTCAGGGCTATTACCTATCAGGTTCAGTGTCTCCGTGCTTGTGTTAAGGTATTTGATCCACTTGTAGTTGAGTTTTGTGAAGAATGCTAAATATAGATCCAATTTGCCTTCCTCTACATGCAGCCATTCAATTTGACCAACACCATTTATCTTTCTTTCTCCATCTATTGTGATTGAAGGTTTTTCTGGGTGTAGTTGTCTGGCTGGCATCTGTTGTCTCTTAGAGTTTGTAGAGCATCTCTCCGAGGCCTTCTGGCTTTTAGAGTCCATGGAAAAACCAGGTGTTATTCTTATAGGTTTGTCTCTGTGTGTCACGGTCTTTTTCCTTCCCAGCTTTTAATATTTTTGATCTGTATGTTTATTGTTTTGATTATTATGTGAGGAGGGGAATTCATTTTTTTTGGTTCATTCTGTCTGGTGTTCTGTGTGCTTCTTGTACCTTAATAGTTATCTCCTTTCTTAGACTGGGGAGATTTTCTTCTATGATTTTGTTGAAAATATTTTTTTGGCTGGGCGGTGGTGGCACACGCCTTTAATCCTAGCATTGGGGAGGCAGAGGCGGGCGGACCTCTGTAAGTTCGAGGCCGGGCTGGACCGATAGCCTCCAAAACAATACAGAGAAACCCTGTCTCGTAAAACCCCAAAAAAAAGAAAAAAGAAAATATGTTTTTGTTGCTGGGTAGTGGTGGCGAGCGCCTTTAATGCTAGTACTCGGGAGGCAGAGGCAGGTGTATCTCTGTGAGTTCAAGGCCAGTCTGCTATACTGAGTGAGTTCCAGGACAGCCTCCAAAGCTACTGAGAAACCCCGTCTCAAAAAAACAAAAGCAAAAGAAAGAAAAAGAAATTATTTTTTGTGTCTTTGGCCTGTGTTCCTCCTCCTTCCTCTATTCCTATTATTCTTAGATTTGGTCTTTTCATAGTGTCCCAGATTTCCTGAATGCTTTATGCCTGGACTTTTTTTTAATATTTAATATTTTCTTTGACCAAAGTGTCCATTTCTTCTATATTATCTTCAATGGCTGAAATTTTCTCTTTTATCTCTTGTATATTGTTGGTGAGGCTTGCCTCTGAGTTTCCTGCTCAAGTTGCTAAATTTTTCTGTTTCAGTTTCCCCTCAGTTTGAATTTTTCTGTATTGATTCTGTTTGTACTTGCGAGTCTTGAAGAGTTTTCTTCCTCTCATTACTGTTTTTTGCTCTCAAAGATTTCTTTTTTTTTTTTTTTTTTTGGTTTTATGAGACAGGGTTTCTCTGTTTGCTCTCAAAGATTTCTTTAATGGATTTGTTCATTTCCTCTTAAAGGACCTTTAGTGTATTCGTAGAGACCATCTTTGAGGTCTTTGTCTGGTGCTTCAACTCCATTGCGTCGCTGGTGGCCTGCGAGCATTGCTGGGCTTTGGTGGAAGCTCGTCCTGTCTGTTGTTGGCTGTGTCTCTACATCGGTTTCTAAGCATCTGGGTTTGGGGTGACTGCAATCTTAGGTGCTTATAGTGTTCTCTTCCTTGGTTCCTGTTGCTCTTTCTGGCTCTTTAGGTTGTGCTATGGCTGTGGGTTGCCTGGTAGGAAATGCTCTGGGACCCTGCCAGGCACGGCCGGCGGCTGGGTATTCAGGGAGTGTCTGTGCTAGACGGAGGCTGGGACAGCAGGATGGGTGGGAGCCTGGAGAAGACCTTCATCGTCTCCTGGAGGTGGGGCTTGGAGGAAGGGGAGACCACAATAGGTGGTCTGCTCCAGAGACGTGGGTGAGCCTGGGGGGTTGGATTTGGGGAAGGAGGACATTGGCAGCCTGCAGACTGCCTACCCGCCTCCCTTCACTCAGAGATCATTTTGTTTGGCACTCTCCCCTGTGCTCCCTCTGGGTCTCTTACAACAATCATACTTATCGCCTCCTCTGTTTTCCATGTCCGACCTGCCCACCATGACTGACCTGCCCACTGAAACAGTCTCGTGTATCCCAAGCTGGCCTTGAATGCATTGTGTCACTGGGGAATGACTGATTTTCTTATCCCCTGCCTCTGCCTCCAGAGTGCTGGGACATGGGCATGCAAACGCTCTACCGACGGAGCTTTCCAGCCCTCATTTTGCCTTCTTTCCAGGGGACTTTTACAGCTTTACCTTCTGGTCCCTATACAGAAACACACTTTCATCTTTATTTTTTTAGATTTATTTATTTATTACATATACAGTGTTCTGCCAGAAAAGGGCACCAGATTGAATTGTAGATGGTTGTGAGCCACCATGTGGTTGCTGGGAATCGAACTCAGGATCTATAGAAGAACAGCCAGTGCTCTTAGCCTCTAGCCACCTCTCCAGCCACACAAACACACTTTTAAAGTCTAATGCTTTCAGAGATGTTGATTTTACGAGTATAGGTATTCTGTTTGCACGCATACCATGTGCATCACTGGCATGTCTGTTGCCATGGTTCTTCCGGAACTGGAGTTACAGACAGTTGTGAGCCGCTGGTGTGGTGGCTGGGAATTGAACCTGGGTCTTCAAGAGGAGCATCCAGTGCTCCCTCCCACACGCTGAGACATTTCTCTAGACCCTAAACTTTGTATTCTGAACTAACTGAATATCTACAGGAAGTTTTGAGAAGACCCCACGGGCCTGCCTTCCTGCAGGCTTTCCTGAAGGCTGGAGTCATTGGCGGACACTTAGTTCAGACCCTTAGGTCTTCACACTGTGGTGGGGCTTGGAAGCACACCCACAAGGCCGGTGGGCGTTCTCAGTGGCTTTGCAGCACCCAGGAGCAGGACGGGCAGAGGCGCGGCCGTCTTTGCAGCCCATGGTCCGCTTAGCCTCACCACTCTTTGCTGCGCAGCTGTCTGTAGCCCCTCTCTCACGGCCTCTGGTCCACCTTCCGCAGGGATGAGCCTCTGCAGGCAAGGAAGGGGGAATCAAGCCACGAGGAGGGCTCCCCAAATCTCCCTCGTCACTTCACACCGTACCCCAAGTGCTGTCTGTCCTGCCTGCACTGCACCTTAGAGGACTCCTGCGGGGCGCTTCTAGGAACCCTGCTACCAGCAGAGACTGTCGTTCCTCAGTTTGCCAAGTCAGTCGCTATGTTTACCTGCCGGGCAGCTTCTGGAATCTCCTGCTGTGCGGCTGTCTGCTTTCCGCCCTGCCTGCCCTGCTGACGGTGCGCCTCTGCTTCAGCCGCTGAGATCCCCACCCCCCAACCCGCGGTCAGCGCTTACGGGGGGCCTTGCAGATCGTCAGCCCTGGATTTCCAGGGTGTGGCCACTGCTATGGGAAGAGAGGCTTGGTAATGATGCTTCCCACACAGTGTACTTAAATACATGCGGGCCAAGCACTCATGCACTTTAGAAGAAAGAAAGAGAAAGAATACTTAGCTGCTTCTCCATCACCTGCCCCCCGCTTTGAGACAGGCTGACCTAACTCACTACGTAGCCTGGGATGACCTTGGGTTTCAGCTCCTCCCGCACTACTTTCCCAGCGCTGTGATTACAGGTGTGCGTTACTGTGCCTGGTTTGTGCAACACTGGGCATCTAACCCAGGGCTTTATGTGCGCTAGGCAGGCGTTCAACCAACTGAGCTATGTTCGCAGACCAGCCCATGTAATTTATATTCCCCCTAGGAGCTTGGTATCATCCCTACAGGAGCCTCTCCTTATATATCTCGGGGATGACCACCCATAACCCTGGAGTATATGAATCTTGGGATATCTTTCATCGTCATTCCGGAGACGCTTTGGTGTTTGAATGGTGCTTGCCCGGTTCCTGCCAGCAGGTGGCGCTGTTTGCCTTTGAGTCCCAAGCTGCACTCCGTGCCTCCTCCTGCAGACGGACGAGAGGGTCCTGGGGGAGCAGTCGAGGCTGGAGGCCCTTGACCGCCGATCTGTCCCTTGCAGTGAGCTACCCATGCGGGAAGCTGTGGAGGCGGATAGAGAAGAAACGCAAGAACGTCAAAAGGGACGCAGACGAAGAGTACGAGCTAGACCCGGGTCCGAGGATCATCAACGGAACTCTCACGAAGCAGGGAGACAGTCCTTGGCAGGTGAGGGGGGCAGACAGTCTTCCTGGACCTCTGCGGGCATGAGAGAAGTGCGGGCGCTTGAGGGGAACGGGTAGTGGCTGGTAAGGACAGGGATGCGCATGTGCAGGGAAAGGCGCGTGTCTCGGATAGAGTCACTGTGGCCGTGATGAAACACCACGACCAAAGAAACGTGGGAAGGAAAGAGTTTGTTTGGCTTACATTTCTACATCACAATTTAGCATCAAAGGAAGTCAGGACAGGAACTCATGCAGGACAGGGACCTGGGGCCAGAATCTGATGCAGACACCGTGGAAGGGAGCTGCTCGCTGGCTGGTTCCCCATGCTTGCTCAATCTGCTTTTTGTTTGTTTGTTTTGTTTTTGAGAGCGGAGTTCTCTATATAACAGCCCTGGCTGTCATGGAACTCGCTCTGTAGACCAGGCTGGCCTCGAACTCACCAAGATCCACCTGCCACTGTCTCCCCAGTGCTGGGATTAAAGGCGTGCGCCACCACTGCCTGGCTTCAGGCTGCGCTTTTATAGAACCCAGGACACCAGCCCACACGTGACCCCACCCACAATGGGCTGTGCGGTCCTCCACCAATCACGAATTAAGAAGGCGCCCTCCAGTGGGATGTTTGGGAGGCCTTTTCTCAGCTGAGGTCCCCTGCTTTCAGAGAACTCTAGCTTCTGTCGAGCTGACAAAAAACCAGCCAGCACAGCATAGACGGGAGCAAGCAGGAGGGAAAGCGCCAGTGTTGAGGAAGAGATGGGGAGACAGAGCTTGTGTGTGTGGGGGGGGGAGCTGAGGCTGTTTCTGGAGAGTCCTGTGTGGGAGGGAGCTAGAAGGGAGTGGTCACCCTGAGAACCCCAGCTTCAACACCGAGCAAGCATTGACTTGTTTCTCGCCTTCCCCAGGCTCTGGACTCAGGGGTACACCAGGAGTTCACAGATTTGGGGAGCTTAGCGCCTCTGGAAATAGCTTAGTAGGATGAGAACCAGGATGGCCATCAGGGCAGAGCGATACCCCAAGCAGCCTGAGTACCACAAAGGCTTCCCAGAGCGAGCAAGGCCTGGCCGTAGCCCCAGCTTGAGAGCTCTCTGTGTGTCGGTGGCAGGGCAAGGTGACTGTAGGAACGACACAGGCTGTGTGTGCCCGTGGGACCAGGAACCCAGGGCAGTGCTTGAGAACCGCCAGCGCCATGAGCCCCGTGCTGGGGGCTGTCAGAGGCAGCCTGTGATGTTACTTGCAGGCCATCCTTCTGGACTCCAAGAAGAAGCTGGCCTGCGGAGGGGCGCTCATTCACACCTCCTGGGTGCTGACGGCGGCCCACTGCGTGGAGAACACCAAGAAGCTCACCGTGAGGCTGGGTGAGGACTGCGGCCAGGCAGGAGCGGCCGGAAGCCTGGGATGGAGCAGGGGAGCAGACTTCCTGTCTCAGGCTGTTATATCCTGAGGCTCCACGGAGGATGCTTGGGGGACAGAGGCCTCTGTGCTAGCACGGGCTCACACTGGGACTCCAGGCAGCTGGGAAATGTTCCGGTGCTCATTTCAGATCCAGGCCCACGTTTGTGAGGGGCGTCCGTCACACACCGAGGTCTCCTCGCTCCCACTCCTGTGGGGCCAGCTCTGTGTGGGCCTCGGCTCCTGGCCATGGTCAGACCCATGCCACTGTGTGAGCTTCGCATAGCTGACGAGGTGGAGCTGTGCAACGTTAGTCTGCTTGCTAGTCGCTTCCCCAGGAGCCTCCCCAAGTCTAGGCCCCACTCTGTGGCAATTTCTGGAGGGTCTTTTAGCAGATCCTATGCCAAAGAGAAGAAGAGTGGACCAAGGAATACCTAGCTGTTAAAACGAGAACTTGGGCTCAGTTCCCAGAACCCACGCAGAATCCAGACACGGTGGCACACAGCTAATCCCGGTGCTGGAGAGGCAGAGAGGGGTCCCTTAATCTGTGAGCTTCAGTTTCAGTGAGAAGCTCTGACTCCAATAGAAGACACCAAACATTGACCTTTGGCCTCTGTATGCACTCATAAACACGGCTCCTCCATGAACACAAGCACACACATGCATACGCGCATACATGCAGGCACACACACATGCACACACACAAGTACACACACACACACACACAATGAAAGAAGGGGTGTGTTGAGAATGGCAAACTTGATACGCTGTGCAACACCTTCAATGTGAGCAATGGCCTGTGGCTCTGTTCCCCAGAGCTGTCAGCTGGTAGGGAGAATCTGTCTCCTCTCTGTGGTCCAGACCATTCTTCCTAGCAGTGCCTGGGGCGGGGCTCTCTGGTGCTCCCTGGGATCTTGCTGGTGATCCCCTTTGGGATCCCGCTGGCCTGCAGCTAGTCTCTCCAGCAGCGCTGCTCTCTGTTCCCTTCCTGTCTGCACGAGTCCCTGGCTTCTCTGCTCTTCAGATCTTCCTTGTTCTGTTCTGTCTGGGGATTCTGAGTTCACACCAGCCCCTTCCTTGTCCCCTAGGAACTTATGCCCTAGGGCCCACTATTCCTGCTCCTGGCAAGAGCACTCGCCTTTGCTAAAGACCTGAGGCACAGGGACCCAGTCCCGGGCTTCACAGAGCCGCACAGCAGAAGCACCGTGGTCAGGCGGGCTCCCCCAGCCTACTCTGATAGCACCCTTGCCTTGCAGGCGAGTATGATCTGCGGCGCAGGGACCACTGGGAATTGGACCTGGACATTAAGGAGATCCTAATCCACCCTAACTACAGTCGGAGCACCAGTGACAATGACATCGCACTGCTCCGCCTGGCCCAGCCAGCCACTCTCTCTAAGACCATCGTGCCCATCTGCCTGCCAGACAACGGCCTGGCAGAGCGTGAGCTCACGCGGGCTGGCCGGGAGACGGTGGTGACAGGCTGGGGCTATCAGAGTGACAAGGACAAGGAGGGCAGGAGGAACCGCACGTCTGTCCTCACCTTCATCCGCATCCCCGTGGCCCCGCGGAACGAGTGCATGCAGGTCATGAACAACGTGGTCTCGGAGAACATGCTGTGCGCCGGCATCCTTGGTGACAGCAGAGACGCCTGCGAGGGGGACAGTGGGGGGCCGATGGTGGTCTTCTTTCGGGGCACCTGGTTCCTGGTGGGCCTGGTGAGCTGGGGCGAGGGCTGTGGGCAACTCAACAACTATGGCGTCTACACCAAAGTAAGCCGCTACCTCGAGTGGATCCACGGCTACATTGGGGACAAGGAAGTCTCCCTGAAGAGCCAGGGGCTGTAGCGCCCGCTCCATGCCCATCCCTGGACCTCTCTCTTGAAGGGAGGCTGGGCTAGTGCATACCAAGGCGGAGGACATTAAAGGGACGCGCAGCCAACACAGCTGCCCGAGTTCCTGTGTGTCTTTGCATCCTTTTTATGGGCTGTTCTGGGGAAAAGCCACGTTAGGTGAGCGCCTACTGTCCGCCAGGTGCTTCATGAGAAGGGACTCAACTCCTAAAGGAGTTCTGTGGGGTGGGGGGAGGGAGGATCCGGTGGGACTCGAGGCTGGTGTAACTTGGGGGTGGGGTGGTTTAACAGGAGTTTTTCTAAAACGTGATTTCAAGAGATTAGAGCCTGTCTGAGGGCAGAGGCATCTGTGCTAGCACGGGCTCACACTGGGACCCCAGGCAGCTGGCACGGGCTCACACTGGGACCCCAGGCAGCTGGGAAATGTTCCCGTGCTCATTTCAGAGATAGGCTCAGAAAGGGCCTGTGCTAGCTGCAGGTGGGAAAGCTTTACCGGTGACCCATGCTATGCAGAGGCCAGCGAGGCTCACAAGGGCCGCATGGTGGGGCCTGGGATTCAAACCGAGGACGCTCTCCAGAGCTCAGCAACTTCTCCATTGCTCCCGGGAGCAGCTGGAGGTGTGGGGTGGGGGTGCATGTGTGATTGTGGGTGCGCATGCACATGTGTGTTTTTGGAGGCCAGAGGACAACTTCGTGTGTAGCTTCTCAAGCGCTGTTTGTTATTATTTTTTTTTCCTTTTGACCCAGCGTCTCTCCATGGCCTGAAATCTGCATAATAGGCAAGGCTGGCTGAACAGCGAGCCCCGCCCCCACCCCCAAGTTGACAAGTGGAGACAGAGGGACAGTAGCACTCTGCTGAAGGAGCCGGGTGCCCGGAAGGTGCTGCTCAGAATGACTGGACAGTCTTGTTGAGGAAGCTATAAGCTGGGGGCGGTGGCAGCACCTACGGTCCAGCTACTCAGGAGGGAGGCTGAGGCAGGAGGCCAGCCTGGACAGCACAGCGAGACACTTTACCTTAAGAAGTGCAGAAGGGAAGGAGGCAGGGAGAGGAGGCGTGTGAGGAGGAAGGGAGGGGAGAGGGGAGGGGAGGGGAGGGAAGTGGCGAGGCTGGTTAGTGCTGCCCATCGCACTGGTGTAAGATAGCCACTGCAGCATGGGCAACCCCCGGAGTCCACATCCCTGAGAAGAACTCTCTCCCTTCCCCAGCGGCCAGCAGTTTCAAAGAGCTCCTCAGGACAGGTGGGGCCTTGAGAGCATCTTCCCATCCCAAGCTAGAATGCAGACTGGCTTGATCTTTTGCAGATCTAGTGGGGCTTAAAAAAAATATTAGCTGGGTGGTGGTGGCGCAGAGGCGGATCTCTGAGTTTGAAGCCAGCCTGGTCTACAGAGTGAGTTTTAGGACAGCCAGGGCTACACAGAGAAACCCTGTTTCAAAAAAAAAAAATCTACGAGTGGTTTTTTTTTTTGGGATGGAGGACATGTGCCGTGTGATGCGGGTGGAGGTCAGAGGAAGACTTTCAGTAGTCACTTCTCGCCGTTCAACATGTGACTTAGGGGGATCAAACTCAAGCTGTTGGCTTCTCAGCCAATTCCCTTATCTGCTGAGCCTCCTCACTGGCCCAAAAAGGCATAAGTGAGATAATTAGACAGTAGTCTTAAAATTAGTCCAGCTCTCTGTGGTTCTGAACTGGGCAAATAATTGTTCTTCTCTGGTGGCAATGGTTAAGTTTAGTTGTCAAGTTGACTGGATTAGGGAATAATCAGTTAGCTCATATGCTATTCTACTTTTGGCTACTATAATAAAAGGCTTGAGGCAGGACAACTTTATTAGATTTTTTTTTTTTTAGTTCACCATTGGTTTGGCCTCTTGGAAAGGCGGGAAAGCAGATGATGATCACGGTGACAGCATGGTGGAAGGCATAGTGCTGGAGTCACAGAGTAGACAAGAAGGCATAGAGCGGTCTGGGGAAGGACTTGTAACAGCTTGTTTTTGTGAGAGCTCAGGAGATTGAGGCAGAAACACCCGTGTCTTCCAAGGGTGGTGATTGCAACAGCCTCAGGACTTTGCCCTGACATTCACCTCCTAAAGATGTCACATGGTGTCCCTGCTCTGGCAAGCTCCCAGCACATGAGGTTCATGCTGCATCCAAACTGTAGAGGCTGGGTGTGCCTGCTGGGGGAGATGGGCGGTGTAAGCATCCCTCCCTCGGGCTGAGTGGGAAGATCCGACGCCTGCCTTCTGGGGGGGGGGGGGTTCCATCCAACTAGCCCAGGTCAGACTAAGAGGGGAGGGAAGAGAAGGTCTCTCTCTCCTGCTGCGACATTGTGTCGGCGTTCTCTAGGTAGCAAGCTTACATTATCAAGGGGGATTTGTGAGACTGTCTACACGGCAGGGGCTGTGTGATCCGGCAATGGTCATCCGCACACTGGAGAGGCTGAGAACGTGGGAGCCGCTCAGTGTGTGGGGGTAGAGGCCTCCACAGTCCCATCCACGTTGGGAGGCTGGAGACACGCTCCCTTCCTCCTCCTGTGTAAACCCACTCCCACTCTTCTGTGTGTACGGCCCAGCGAGTTTTACCAGGATCGCTGATAGGAAAATGGACACCTCAGCAGCCCACGCCACTGAAGAGAATGTCTCTCTCCACCAGCAACCTTTAACGGCCTGTGGCTGGCTCCTCAGGGAGGGGAGGCTCGGTTCATTATTTCACGTGTGGAAGTCCTCAGCCCACCAGGCTGTGGCTGTAGCTGTGTGGATTTATTTCTGGGTCTTCTAGATTCCACTCCTTTAGACTTCCCTCCCTCCCTTCCTCCTTCCCTTCTTCCCTTCTTTCTTTGTGCACAGAAAGATGTCCAAAGAACATACTGGCAAACATATGGATTTGGGAAATTGAGTTTCCTAAAGCTGGCAGCCATGTCAGAGGCTCATCTGACCAGGAACTGCATTCAATCCCTCAGCTCTGGAATGGCAGTGCCCTGCACTTTGGCGGGTGCTTTTTATTTCGTTTTTTGTTTCTACTTTGGGAGATCTGGGAAATACAACCACTGGGGCTACACACAAGCCTGCAGTTTCTCCCTCCTGGAGTTGTCTGTCAAACAATATTTCATCTTCAGAAACTGCCTTGCCCCAGATATCAGGATGTGGGTCATAGTGGGTGATTGAGTTTGGCAAAGGTATGATGGGTAAGGGGCTGTGGGATCTCAATATAGGGCATTGGCCAGGGTCTGGCAGTTTGTTCAAGGTTTATTCTCATAGCTATATATGAACACACTGCCACATTATTGCTTATTAAGCAGTGGTATAATTATTTCTGTTGTTTTTACTTTTCAATGATTTTTTTTATTTTGTATGGTGTGTTTTGCCTGCATGTTTGTATGTACACCATGTGCCTGCCTAGTGCCTTAGAGGTCGGAAGATGGCATCAGATCACTTGGAACTGGAGTTATGGATGGTTGTGATCTATCAGGTGGGCTCTGGGAACTGAACCCTGATCCTGCAAGAACAACAGGTTCTCTTAATGGCTGAGTCATTTCTCCAGCCCCAAGCGGGAAACTTAACAGAATTTTCCATTCGAAAATGTTTACAGGGCAGCAAGATGACTCAGCAGGTAAGAACAATTGCTGCATAAGCCTGGCATCCGAAACCCCATGCCCGCAGCCCATGTGAAACAGCCAGGTGGAGTGGTGTGCGTCTATAATTCCAACACTCCCATTGTGAGGAAGAACTGTCGGGAAGCTTGTGGACAGCATGGCAGGAACAAGACTGACCCTGCCTCAACACAGAGTGGAGCAATGCTAACCCCGAAACGCCTCGTCTCCAAATGCACACCACGGTATACAAATGTGCACTTATACATATGTGTCCTACATAACCATACATGTGCAGAGCAGTAAAAAGTAGTCTAAAGATGCTTGCTTACATTGAAGTAGAATACAGTCAGAAAGGCTGATTATTAGATACTGATGTATTGATTTATTTAGTGATTTACTGGAAGCACTGTTTGTACTGCCTGTTTGCCAAGCATGACTTCACTTGCTACCTGGAGCGGAGTGACCTGGAGAAAGAGCTGACACGCATTGTCCTTAACAAGCTGGTGACTGACTCACATAGTTCTGTAAAACCTTAGTCTCGCCGGGCGGTGGTGGCGCATGCCTTTAATCCCAGCACTTGGGAGGCAGAGGCAGGCGGATCTTTTGTGAGTTCGAGACCAGCCTTGTCTACAGAGTGAGTTCCAGGACAGCCTCCAAAGCCACAGAGAAACTCTGCCTCAAAAAAAAAAAAAAAAACCAACAACAACAAAAAAAACCTTAGTCTCTTGCCCACCTCACCTGATGGTTTGAGAATAAAATGAGATTACAAACCGTCCCGGAGACTGAAGCCTGCCAGGAGCTGTCCTGGCTTTGGACCACCAGTGAGAGCTTCCACTCTGATTGGCACTGGAATGTTTATTCCAAAATGATTCTGGCAGGAGTACGACTTTACATGATGATACTAGGGCCATTTTTGGAAGAGCATGTGCTGATGGGTAAGTATGCAGTGATCTGCTACTGGTAGTGACGAGTGCATTTATCCCCCTACGAACGAGGCTGCCAGATAAACACACAGATTTGTACTTTCACCTTCAGCACACCAGTGGCCTGTTTCTAAAGTGGTTTGGGCAAATATTAACTGTGGTTTCTGAAACAGCACATGCCCGTGGCTGACCAGACATTCCTGTCACTGCACAATCTTGCTCTTCTCAGCAGTCAATAATACATGAGGGAAAGAAGATACAATTCTTAAGTTCAAGCTTAGACTGGTCAAAATGAGTGTAAGTTATTATCTGCTCAGTCATAACGAGGCATCCATGTCATCCCCTCCAGCGCTCAGGGGACATTGGCAGGGACAGAAAGAGCATGCTAGCTGGAGGAAGCAGTGGGATCCTGCAGAGCACTGTCCTCCAGGCACGGCACGCATGTGGCCTTTCTTTTGGCTTTTTGAGGCAGGGTTTCTCTGAAATGCCCTGGCTGTCCTTGAAGTCAGAGACCAGCCTGCCTCTGTGCTGGTATTAAAGGTGTACACCACCATACACCGAAAGCTGATCATGTAGGAGGGAGGGGCTCACAAG